TGCGACGGAGGGGAGCTGAGGATGGGCAAAACGGAGCTTGCAATGGTAGGGGGGCCTGGGCGGGGGGGCGGCGGCGGGAGGAGACGGGGTAGGCAGGTGGGCAGGCAGGCTGGGAGATTCCAACAGGTAGAGCTCCCTCTTCCCCTCCCCCCATCTCGAAGCTGGACGTGCCGAATCTCTCCGCTACTGCTTCCTTCTTTCCTTCCTTTCGGCCTCCGATCGTATTCAAAAAGGTGGTTCGCTCTCTTCCCGCGCTTTAATCCAGCCTTTCCCAGCCAACCTGGGGCTGTTCAGATGTGTCCGACTACAATTCCCATCATGTCCAGTCAAGAGTCCTCCTGACTGGACGGGATGGGCAAGAGAGTAGGTCATATCTGGAGGCAGTGGCTGCAGATGCTCAGTAGTGCTGGAGGGTCATGGGGAACCACCCTGAATACCAGCTGCGGTACCCGGAAAGCCCACCTCCTCCTTTGTGAAGTCTTAAGTGAGCCTTGAACTCCTGGCTGAGAAGGATGGGTGTGTGTGTGTGTGTCCAAACCACGAGGATCAGCCTTGCCTGGGAAGTGCCAGGGTGGGAAGGTTGGAGTTACTTACAAGGAATGACCTCCTTGTGCCCAGGCAAGGCTCCAGCAGTGACAGTTGAGTTATTGCAACCCATTGCCAGGGCTAGATGGGTGGCTGGTTGGGGGAAAGGCAGAGTACACTGTATATGTTCATGGACCCTAAAGGAGAGACTGAAGAGGGATTTCCTGAGAAGGAAGCCCATAAGGAGACAAGGCGATGCTCCTCCTGTATAGGAGTGGATATGTTCTGTTGAACCCACTGGGGCTTCCTTCTGGCAGTGGTCCCCAACCTTGGGCCTCCAGAGGTTCTTGGACTTCAACTCCCCGAAATCCTGGCCAGCAGAGGTGGTGGTGAAGGCTTCTGGGAGTTGTAGTCCAAGAACATCTGGAAGCCCAAGGTTGGGGACCACTGCCTTATGGGATTGATATATTGTATAAGGCTCTGAGCAAAAACAAAACAAAACAAAACGGACAGCCTCTCTGTATCCCTGCCTCTCATGCAAAGCACAGGGAAAGACCTGGATGGAGAAGCCTGTGTTCAGAGAAAGAGGGAGGCAGGAAGGCTGCTTCTCTGTACTGCATAATGAAGAACAACCAGGAGCAGTTGGGGGCCCTCCTGATGTGATGTGGCTCCACTGCAGTTCCCAGCATCCCTCACTATTGGTCCTGCTGGCTGGAGTTGATTGCCCAGTCCACCCATTGGATGCCATGTACTTTGAAAAGAGAGGCAGTGTAGGTTATAAGGAAGGGGGGGTTTACTAAAGAGAGTGACTGAGTTTCTATTCTCTTACTTTCAGCTTCTTCTAACTATTTAAAGTATTTTGTTCACAAACAGGGAAATGTAACTCTTAGGATTCGATCCTTCACTCCATTCATTCGTGGGAAAATGCCAGCTAGGTATAAATTGATTCCTAATCTTTGAAAACAGAGTTGTAGTGCAACTCCATCACCAATTTTAGTACGTACATGCAATTTTAGTGCTGTATTGTGGCGTCATGATATGTGTGGAACCCATTCATTTTGTCCACCAAGATGGAGCAATCATTACGTAATTTCTTTGTGTTCATTTCTATTTTCTTGTTACGAGCCTGTCAGTGAGTGATAAAAGTGTTTTCAGTTGATACAGTGCCACGGTATTTAGGAAAAAACATTGATGACAAAAGACACAGCTTTTAACTTTTGGTCCAAGGTTGTTAAGGAATGTTCTCTCTCTCTCTCTCTCTCTCTCTCTCTCTCTCTCTCTCTGTCTGTCTCTGTCTCAGTCTCAGTCTCTCTCACACACACAAAGAGAGAGAGAGGGAGGGGGGTCAACTTTGCCTCCAGCCTGGTGCCAGGTACAGGGCAGTGTGTGGATAGTGGTGCTGCTGGTGGTGGTGTTACATTTCCACTCTTGCTAGACCGGTTGGGTGGCTCTGCTCAGCCAAGAACATCAAGGAAGGTCGCAGGAACAAGTGGATGGATGGGGGTGCAGAAGCCAAGCTGGCAGAATTCTTCTCCTCGGGGCTAGTTTGGCACCCCACTTCTCATGGTCTCCGGATGTCCGCCCTTCCTGGGCTGGAAGGGAACTTAACTTGTGTCACAGCAGGTGAAACTCTTAGATCTTATTGTGTGTCCATATTTTACTTAGAGGGAGGAAGGAAGCAACTGTGCGGCATTTCCTTCAACAAAACCAAAGAGTTGTCCCATGTATTGGCAACAATAGGAGCAGTTCTTGGGTTGCCTCTTCCTCTTGTGCCTCTGCATACCAGCATGGTAGTCACAAAAGAAAAAAAATGTACAGGGGAAGGTTTGTCTGATATAAGAGATATAAGATATAAGCCCTGAGGTGCAAGGAATTCATCAGGACAGCCACCCTCTCAAAGAGAACTCAGAACAGGGCACCCAGGATACACTGATGTCCTGCCACCTGTTATTTTGCAATCCAAAGAGCTAATGCTTGAGTTACAGCCTTGGTCATAAAACACAGAAATCCAAAAGAGCGTACCATAATAATAATTTTCACAAGTTTATGAGGCTTGACAACAGGCCTGTGCACAGGTCTGAGACTCAGCTCCACTGAACATGCTTATTTCTTACTGCTCAGGTCCAACTAGCAAAAATTATAGTGAGCTTTAAGAACCCTCTCCCCTTTTTTTAAAACTAGCTCCTGTTTAGTTCTGTTGTGTTGGGCTGCTGCTTTGTTTGCTATTTGTTATTTAAAGCACAGAAGCAAAGCCCCCCAAATAGCAACCTTGTAGGTGTATGAATTCGGTTTAGTATGGCTCAGCCATTAAAACTGGCCTACAGCACCGAAGGGAAACCTGCTCAAAACCAAATGATCAGTATTCCAGTTCTACAAATGAGAAAATGAGGTTGAGATATAAACAGTTAGCCTAATGTGAGCGGCAGCAGGCTTTTTGTTCTCTTGTGGTTTGACTTTTTCCCCTTAAACCTTTGGTTATCAAAAACTCTGCCCCAGACTATCTTCTGCTAACTCCTGTGTGCATGCATGTGCACATATCTTCTGCTCATGCCTGTGTGCCCGCACACATATGCGCGCACACACGTGCACACACACACATACACATAGGAGAGAGTAAGCCTCACCAAAGTTCTTCACAAGCGTATTTTGTTGCAAAGCAGATATTTCTAATAATATTTTATCCTAAAATAAGATTTTTTTCCTAACATTTCATGTTTTTTGAGCCATCTGGAGTGCTGCCTTTGAGTGCATCACTGCCACATTTGGAGAAGTGCAAAATTAGAAGGATAATAATTAATATTCTGGCCTGCTTGTTAGTTAGAGAGAGGAAGATCATGTTGGTTTCCTTCCAGATTGGGATGGACTGAAATCCTACTGCTAGACTTTCTTCATTAAGAGCGATCCACACCCAGCCGAGCAAAAAAGGGCATTTTGGGGGGAAGGAACTATCCAGTGCTATTTGGTTATTCATTCTTCTTCTTTACACCCATTTTGCCCTCTTGCCGTGAGAAGAGAGGCTAGACTTCTTATGTGGCCTTTACTTGTTAACTTGGCAACATTTTTACCCTTCTTTCTTAACTTCAAACGGATTCCCAGGTGTTCATTTCTTCTCTAAAATATTTGTAACCACCTTTCAGTACGAGATACTCCAAATGGCTGATGTTAATAAAACAATTCTCTTCCAACATGAACTGACTTGGTAATTCAAGAGTATGCAATGCATTCAAGCAAACTGCAAACCGTGATCTCTTGTCTTTCCTGTTTTCCTCTCTGCCTCTCTTCAGACACCCCTACAACAGTGGGGTGAAGAGGTAGAAGACGGGGCCATCTACAGCATCATCCTTGAGCGAGTGAAGGCAGAGGCTGTGGCCAACAGACCTTGCCACCTGGTATGTGCCATTCTTAGACATGGCATAAATTGGCGATCTCTTCCTGCGTACTAAAGAGGTTTTTAGATCTGATCTGTGGAGGGCTGACATTCTGGAAGCTTATTTCTGAGCCATGTTTGGGCATGAAAAGGAAATATTGTAAACCTCAATATATGCTGTTGCATCTTTTAAAATGAGAAGGACATTATTCGGGGGAATAGATGTCTTTCTTGGAGGCTCCCAGAGGCACAATAAACATGCCGATTGGTCTGAGATGGTGGGGGTGGTGGGATGGCATTGAACAACAGTGGGAGGGCTGTAGATTCCCTACCCTGGATGAAAGCGTCCCAAATTTATCAAAGCCAAATTAAAGAAAACCAGATGTTCCCTGAAGACGTTGTGTTTGGTTCTATAAATCAGATTTTAACAACCAAGCACAAGTCTCACTGCAGTGAACAGAAGCTGCACCCATACTACGTATCATGTTTAGACTGTAAACTATCTGTCTTCTTTTGGACTGAGTCCATGGAGTATTGTCTCTGCATTCCTTCAGGTCATCTGCAGAGTTTGAGAGAGGTCATTTTTGGACTCCCACTCCCAGTATGCCCCATGCCTTGCCATCTGGGAACTACAGTACCGTAGTCCAGAACAGTCACTTTTAACAGGCTCTGTTCACCTGCATGTGGGATACTCCACCTGTCGCTCCACCGTGATCACCTTTACGTACCTCTTTCTCAGCAGGAGGACTCCAGCCTCCCTGAGTGCCCTTTTGTCCAGTACCGCACTTGCAAGAGGCGTGTGCTGAGGGCGGCCACCCTTCCCAGGCTGGTGAAGTGGCTCGTGGCCGCCAAGGCTGAAGGAGACCTGGACTACGTACCCAGCTTCTTGGCCACCTACCAGGCCTTCGCCACATCTGCGCAGGTGTTGGAGCTGCTGCTGCCACTGGGACCAAACAAGTGAGGCACTGGGGTTGGGGTGGGTGTTCTTCTTCTGCCAACGGGCACCAGCCTTTCCATCCAGTTGAGTATTCAGCAAGTAAATAGATGCCAAGGAGGAAAGGGTGTTGATGGGGGAATGATCTCTCTCTCTCTCTCTCTCTCTCTCTCTCTCTTTACATCTTATGTATGGTCAGTCAAAAGGCAGATTAGGGAACAGGGATTCATCCTGTGCTGAATGGGGTTGCACTCCCTCTGAAAACACAGGTATGCAGCTTGGGGGTGCTCCTGGATTCATCTCTGAGCCTGAATGCCCAAGCTTTGGGGAGTGGCCAGGAGTGCCTTCGTGCAATTACTGCTCGTTGTGCCAACTGTGCTCATTTCTGGAGAGGGTCTGATTAGGTCACGATGACCCATGCCTGAGTTACATCCTGGCTGGATAATTGTAACACATCCTATGTAGTGAAGTTTGAAGTGGGAAGGGCAGCATGATGTGCTCCGGTTGTTAAGGAGATGTGCTCTGGAGACTGAAAAGGGCCAGGAGGTGGCCCATTCAGAAGAAGCAAAGCCCCGGGTGAAGCTCGGGAAGTGGGACGGGCCAAGGAAGTTGACTTCCTATCTCTTCCAGCTGCAGGGCAGTCCTACAGGTATTGGAACTGTGGCTGCAGCATCACCCTGAGGATTTTTGGGAGCCCCCGGAGCACCACAACCTGCAAAAAGTCTTGCACTTCCTGCACCAGTCTGCTCCTGACTCCCCAGCATATGCCCTGGCAGGAAGGCTGCTGCAAGGCGACAAACAAAAGGAGGAGGAGGAGGAAGAAGAAGAAGAAGAAGAAGAAAGGAGTAAGGCAACATCAGCTGCGGCCAACGGTAGGAACACTCAAGAGCCTTGACTGCCCAACACGACCTGCAGTCTCTGATGTGGTCCAGTCCCAGCCGAGGAGGAAGAAGAAGAAGAAGAAGAAGAAAGGAGAAAGGCATCATCAGCTGCGGCCAACGGTAGGAACACCCAAGGGCCTTGACCGCCCAACACGACCTGCAGTCTCTGCTGTGGTCCAGGCCCAGCCAGGTGGCTGGCTGGACATGTTTTACTTCCTAGCTGTACGGAACTGGAAGGCTTGTCCCCATGGTACGTGTATCCGGGATATTAGAAGAAGAAGAAGAAGAAAGGAGAAAGGCATCATCAGCTGCGGCCAACGGTAGGAACACCCAAGGGCCTTGACCGCCCAACACGACCTGCAGTCTCTGCTGTGGTCCAGGCCCAGCCAGGTGGCTGGCTGGACATGTTTTACTTCCTAGCTGTACGGAACTGGAAGGCTTGTCCCCATGGTACGTGTATCCGGGATATTTGCCTTGGTTTGCTCCTGCCCATGAGCAAGAGGAGAAAAGGCAAGTTTAGTATGTATGAAGCAGAGGTGAGCTGGGGGGGGGAGGGCAACTGTGGCTCTTTAGCTGTGTTGTACTTCAGCTCCCATAATCCTTTGCCCTTGTCTGTGCTTGATAGGGATGGTGGGATAGGGGAGTTGGTGTTGAACCACATTAGGAAGGCTGTAGATTGCATATGCCTAATACTGGGGATAAGCCTACCAATGGCTTCTAGTTGTCATGGCTACATATTGTAGGCAACTTGCCCCTGCGTACCAGGTCTTGGGAAAGATAAGTAGTGGGATACAGTGGCATCCTTATCCTACTGGTGGGCTTTCCACAGACATCTATTCAACCCCTGTGGGAACAGAAGGATGCTCTAGGAGGAGACCTGATCTGATCCAGCATAGTCTTTGCATACTTTGGTTGGCCTGTTGACTTGTTAGCACAAGTATTGCCTCTTCCACATCTTTTTTTTCCTTCTATATTGGGAAGACTGTTCTGGTCACACACTGGATTAAAAATGGCAAGAGTAGAAGGTCACGGCCAAAGGTTGCAAATTCTGATACAAGTTCTGTTTTTGATGGGGTTTGGTCTCCCCAGCCAGAGAAGAGGAGCTCTCCAAAAGTTGCCCGTCCCATTGGGACCGTTTATTCCACTGAATGTTGCAGGTCCCGAGGAGTAAAGCTTAAAGATGGGTAATTCTAGCCATAGTCTTGTCTGGCCGCCCTCCTGTCTTGTCTTACTGCACTTATTCAAAATAATCTTTGCTTGTTGCCTAGCAGGAGGAGAATCTCTGGGGATGGGCATGGCACAGGCGACAAGAGAGGTAGCTGAAGCAGGGGAGAGCAAGGAGATGCCAGTCTTGTTGTCCTTCCCTTTGGATGAAGTGGCTGAGCAGCTGACCCTGATGGATGCGGTAAGTAAGATCTGGAGGGCCACAGGCTGGGAAGACACACAAACCGGTTGTTGCATGGAGGGACTCCTGGACTGTGTTCACAGATTAAGGGGTTGAGATGCAACAGTCCAGAGTATTGGAATGGTGGGTGAACGAAGCCAGGGGTCTATGTCTGAAAGCAAATGCATGCTCTTTTTTTGTTAATCTGTTTAAAGTAAACAAGGCGTGTGTAAGCCAGGGGTCTATGTCTGAAAGCAAATGTTAGTCTGTTTAAAGTAAACAAGGAGTGTGCCATGTTTTACAGCAGAGCATCTTCCCATTGGTGCCCTCCCCAGATGTATTGGACGATAGCATCTGTCACTCTTACTCATTTTGGTTGGGGGTGATGGGATCTGTCAGCCAGTACAATGGGAGGGTGCCAGGTTGTGAACTTTGTCTGATGCAGAGACCGGATCTTGAGTGTCTCAAAAGTCTTGATGCCCATCTTGACAAGGTGGCGTTGGGCTAGCGTTCTCCCTCTCCCTCCCTTTTCCATCTCCTTCCCCAGGATCTTTTCAGAGCGGTGAGACCCTTTCATTGCACGGGTTGTGTCTGGTCCCATAGGGACAAGAAGGAGAATCAACACATGGCTCCCACTGTCCGTGCCACTGTGGCCCAGTTCAATGCAGTCACCAGCTGTGTCATCACATCCGTGCTTGGAGACCTGACCTTGCGTACTCCCCAACGTGCACACTTGCTAGAGAAATGGATCAGCGTTGCCCAGGTAGAGCAGTACTCTCCCTTTTGAGATAAGGCAAGGCAGGTAAGACCCTCAAGGGTCAGGATGATGATTATGTCCTGGAAAATATATATATAAGTTCTTCACACTGATACAAACCTGGTGAAGTGGTACTTTAATCCATGAAAGCTTGTGTATTGTATGATAATTTGTTAGCAGTCTATAAAGGTATCACCTATTTTTGCATTTAAATAAAGAGGAAATCCACTTGGGCATTGGTCCTGCTGTTAGGTGCACTGATGGGTCAGCCTGCTCTCCCCCCCCACAGCCAACCCACACCTTTTTGAACTATTGTCAGGGGTTCTACTATTTTGGTATGTATTGGAGGGCTCTGGTTTAGTCCATTCCCAGCAAGTGTGGTTGCTTGGAACAAATTACGCTAGAATTTCACAGCTTCTTCTGCTGTCTATTTCTGGTATTCTGAAGTAGCGTAGGAATTGTTTCAGGATATAGGAAATTGAACACTTCCCCTGATCATCTGCAGAGGGTCAGGGGAAATGAAATTTTTTTAATGCCTGCTAGATTATCGCTGATGCATTGAATCATTTTGTTTAATTTTTTAAAAAATTACAGAACAAAATGGCCAGTTTGGACAGCCCAAAGTAAAACAAATGAACATGGTCTAAAAATGAATGTTAAGAAAACCAAGTTCATGGTAATCTGTAAAATCAAGCAGCTCATCAAATGCAGTTAAAAATTCAAAATGAAAATGTGGAGCTTGTTGACAAATATCTCTATCTTGGAATGTGGCTGAATGAACAGTCATATTATAGCCATGAAATAAAAGCTAGAATAGAGATGACATAGAGTAACTTTCTTAAGACGATGAATGAATGTGTTAAAATTAAAGTTAAAATTGAAAGTTAAAATTCGTTATATGAATGTGCATTTGTAGTTCTATTTTTCATTCTAAAATATGGCATGGAATCATGGATTTTAATATTGGCTGCTATTTTAAAAAGCAGAAGCATTTGGAGTGTGTATTTATTGTAGGATGCTAAGAATTTCTTGAATCAAGAGGGTGAATGCTGAATAAGTGTAAGAAAAGGTCATTAAATAGAAGCTATTGTTTTAAATAGAAAATATTGTAACGTAATTTTAATCTTCCCCTTCCCTTTGGATTAAAGTTAAACCACCAGAACTAAAATTGCTTACAAAATCAGCATGTTTTCCCTTTGGTTTTCATCCACTAGTTAAAAGAGTTTAGTCAACTCATCTACCAATTAAGCAAAGCAAATCCTGTACAAAATGCCTTTCCTCCAAATGCCTTTCCCCAAAGGGCATTTAAATCTTGTTTATAATCCTCCTTGTTTATTGAAACATTTTGTATCTTTTCTACCCAAATACGAAATGCTGCCCTTCCTGTACACCAGCACTGCCGGGCCCTACGAAATTTCTCCTCATTGCATGCCATCCTCTCTGCTTTACAATCCAACTCCATCTATCGTCTTAAGCGGACCTGGGCTGCTGTCAACAGGTAAGATTTAGGGGGATGAGAATAACCAGGGCAATGGCTGGGTGGAAGATGCAGCACCGTCCCATGTTGAGCTTCTTGTTTAATACTGGCTGCTATAGTACTCTCACTGTTATTTTGGGTGAGTGACAGATTTCAGGATCTTCCCCAGACAGCTCAGGGGAAGAGGTCCATCAGAGACTATTTTCCCACCTTGAACTTCTCCCAGTTTTGATCGGACTGACCCTTTGGCCTGACTCTGTGTCAGGCAGCTCCATAAAGGAAGCCCTATGATGCTATTAGAGCTGCAGTGTGAGGCTGATGATTAGGGGAAAGGCAGGTGAATATCCAGAGGGTGGCAAGTGATGGAAGCCATAGCAAATAGGCTTGATGTCAAGCAAGGCCCACTGGATCTCCTCCTGGTAGCTGCAGCACCCTTTTGTTTCTTTTTCAAATTTTCATTCTTTTTTTAAAAAAGCATTTTAGAGTCAGGACAGCCAGGCAAGTGTGTACATGGTTACAGACACTCTGTTTAGGTTGATGTTTATTTTTCAAACATATATCCGGTTTCTGCAACCAAATGGTGTGCAACTGGAAGCAGAATCAAACTCCATTTTGTGCCAGTAGTCATAACAGTGCCGTGCTTAGAGTGAATTTAAAATGTGAAACTCCATGGGCTCATTTCTTTCCCTTTCTTTTTTGAACAAACTTGCCAGGGTTGTAAAAACAATTGTAAAAACCTGGAGCGCTGGCCGTAGGAGAAAAAAGGCGATGATAACAGTGTGCTCTACAATTTAAAGTGATCCGAACACTTCTGAGGAGACAATGAACTGTAGGTTGTAAAAATGACTCAGCAGAATCACTGATAAAACCCTGATTTTCCCACAGGGAGTCTCGGAGCACTTTTCGAAAGCTCTCACAGATCTTTTCTGAAGATAATAATTACTTGAACTGCCGGGAAATCCTGATGCAGGTAGCAAAACCTTCTTCTGAGAGGGGCCAAGAACAGGGGTGGGGGTGGGCACGTAGATGTAAGTAGATGGGGTTTGTATCCATGGGGTTTTGACCAGAAAGACATTAGAGGTTGTGCTCCCACAGAAATGTTTAGTGTGCCTTATCAAGAGGCCTTGGTCCCTCTAGAGTTCAACTTCCAGAAGCCCTGGTGGGCATGGCTGGTGGTAAGGAACTGTGGTCCATGTTCTCCCAAATACACAAAAGGCCAAAAGTTCTTCACACCAACAGCGGACCGTGATGGAGAGCAGGCCGGGCTGTGGGTGAAAAGAACTCGAGTTGCTGGGTGAGCTGTGATGGAGAGAAGAGGGCCACCAAGGTTGCCAGGCAGCAACAGAGTTTCATGTACTTGTTGCTGAGAACGCCTTGAATTGGTTCGGCGACTTCTAATTTTATTAGTACTAAGCTATTTAGGAGAAAATAACTGCCCAGTGCATTTGCTCAGTTCCGGGTTTACTAAATCAAAGCTTAACTGCCAGAAACAAAGGACAAGATGAAGTAACCCCTTCCTTATCATTTTCCTCACCACTTCCGTTTCTTGGTAATTGCATCCCAGTTTAACTGAACCACTGTTAAATGTTGCATCTGAAATGGAGAAGGGAAATTTAATGTCAGTTTCCAATTTGAAGATACTTTAACATCCTGGTTCATTCAGTGACACTAAGCATCAGTTGCCTGTTTCAAATGTGAGAAGATGGAACAGTTAACTCTCTCTTTCTTTCTTTCTTTCTTTCTTTCTTTCTTTCTTTCTTTCTGAGCATTGCACAGTTTAAAATTATAGATATACAGTATATGAAATATAGGTAAAATGAAAAGCAATTAAAATATTAAGATAAATAGACTATTTTTATTTAAAATTATAGATATATATGAAATATAGGTAAAATGAAAACCAATTAAAATATTAAGATGAATAGACTATTTTGGACCAGAAATGTGCTACTTCAACCACATTATCTCAACCATTTGCCAGATCTTCTTTTGTACACATGGGACATAAATTTTATGCATATAATAGTGCAACGATTGAATTTCTCCACAGTCACAGAAAATTTGTCCTGTATCCAAGTAGTCTCATTTGACTGGATTATATTTTGATCTTCTTACTTTGCTTTGAAGTTTATTAAGCTGCTGGACAGATTGTCCAGCTAGAGTCTTGTCCTGTTGGGGACACTCTTCATCATTCATCTGTTTGGCAATGTGCAGTGTTTTGTTCTCCACAGGTTTAATATCTTCTGGTTTAATATTTAGAGCTTGAGAGGTGTGCAGAAAACTTTTCTTCAGTTTTAGCTGTCCTGTCCATGAAGTGGATGCCCATGAAGTGGATGAGTTTGGTGCTGTATTGCCTTATTTTGCTCATTATTTGCTAGAACCTCTTGATGTATTTCTGGAGGGCCATGAAGTGGATGAGTTTGGTGCTGTATTGTCTTATTTCGCTCATTATTTGCTAGAACCTATTGATGTATTTCTGGAGGGTAATGCCAGGCAATTAATAGACATTTTCAATTGGGGGGAGTAAGGTTTCAAGCAGCCAGTAATAATCCTGCATGATTTATTAAGAGCTACATCCACTTGTTTGGCATGTGGTGATTTATACTATATGGGACTAGCATATTCTGTGGAGTAGCACAGGGTCAAATTTGTTCTCATTGTTTGTGGGTGTGACTCCCAATCTGGCCCAGCCAGGTTCCTAAGTATGTTATTTATGGAAACAACTTTCTATTTGGTGTTTAGGCAATGGTTTTGGCAGGTCAGCGTTTGATTCAGAGTGATGCCCAACTACTTTGAGGTAGAGTCATGTTCCAAAACCTTGCCTTCCCAGCTGAATTCTCACCAAAGATGCACCCTTGATCCAGGGAGCTTCCTCTCTGCTTCTCTGTTCTTTAAGGGGAAAGTGCAGAACTATGTTTTCAAAAGGTTGTTGCAGGCTGGCTGTTTTTATTATATAAAGAAACATCTCTTAATGCAGAGGTTTGTGGGTGCTCAATGGCCTCAAAGGTTTCCTCCTACTAGACTGTCAATGCCAGATCATCAGCATAGATTAAATTCCTGTATTATGGAAATGCTGGTTGATCATTTGTGTAAATGTTAAAAAGTAATGGTGCCAGGATGCTACCCTGTGGGAGGCTGTACCTTTGATTTCTCCAGCAACGGTGCCTCCCTTGAAATTCAGCAAAGAATCTTTGGTTTTGAAATAGAATGGCGGCTGTTTCTGTTAGTCTATAATCTTTAGTTACTAAGTAGAGTTTTTTGAGCAGCAAGTGAGGGTGGAAAGTACAGAGTTACTAAGTAGAGTTTTTTGAGCAGCAATTGAGGGTGGAAAATATCCCGCTGTAAGGTCAACAAGTGCTGCTCCAGTTATTTCATGTCTTTCAAAACCATCTTCTATAGCAGTGGTTCTTAACCTTTGTTACTCGGATGCTTTTGAACTGCAACTCCCAGAAACCCCAGTCAGGACAGCTGGTGGTGAAGGCTTCTGGGAGTTGCAGTCCAAAACTCCTGAGTAACCCAAGGTTAAGAACCATTGGTCTATAGGCTGCGTAAGATTTAAGATTTGAGCCATACAGCTCTTGCCAGATCTAAAGTCTGCCTGTTCTGGAATTATACGAGGTTAAATTTTAGGGGCTAGATGGTTTAATATGATTTGTACCAACACTTTGTGTAAGTGACATAGTCAGGAGACTGTGGCTTGTAGCTTTTGGGGTCTGACACTTCTTTGCCTGGTTTCAGTACAGTGTTTACTCTTGTCTTCCATCATATTTTTGGAATTTTTGTTTTCTCATCCAGCAGTCATTAAAGAACTGAAGGAGCCCTTCCATTGGGTTTTGTCCAAAAGGTTTCATTTGCTCAATTCAGATATCATTGAGTCCTGCAGCTTTGTCGTTCCTATGCAGACTGGATCTTTTTTAAAAAAATGTTCATTCTGTATTTTGCCATTCAGTTCTTGGCTCCAAAATTGTGTAGAAAAATATGTATATTGGGAAGGTTGCGTGCAAAAATGCTTGTATTTCAGAAAACTGCATACAGAATGCATATATTAGAGAATGATGAGTGTGAACATAAATGTGCATTATGTACAGTACATTAAAAAAGCTGATCACAGATTGAGATGGAAATTGGATGGAACAGTGTTACAGCTGGATGCGTGAGAAACCAACAGAAGGTGAAGGTGGATAGATTAATTTATCCTCAGTTGCTCCTTTCCAGAAAATTATACTGTAATTAGCAAACCAGGAACTGAATACTTGAAGCAGGGCAATATTTTAGAATACTGAAAAGCTCCGTTTTTAGTTTCTGTAGAATTAGTGCCTTTCCAAATATTCAGTTTGCGTCTACAGTAGTTATTCTCTATTTTATCTTATCTCCGTATTTAAAAACATTACTAAATCATTTACTTGCAAATCTCTTCCTCCTTCATGAGTTGTTCAATACTGAGAACCTTTTAAAGGAATTCCTTTGAACTAGCCTTTGTAATCCTACATTTGACTTAGAACCGGTTCTCCATGAGAAACTCAGTCTGGGCTCTATCACATCAAATGTGGAGGCAAATATCATTGAATGCCTCTCCAAATAATGGATACAAAAAAGAAACATGAATGAAAAACTGTCTCTGGATCAGTCTCCTCCTGGTCAGACTAGTTTTCAATGTGTGAACATTTTTTTTAAATTTCATGAGGGAATATTTCATCATGTGACCCTCACCACCAGTGAGAACAGGGCCACTGAGGGCTAAAGTTACATGTTATTCTAGAGCAGTGGTGCCCAACCTTGGGTCCCCAGCTCTTCTTGGACTAAAACAGTCAGAAATCTTCTCCGCCAGCTGTGCTGGCCAGGATTTGTGGGAGTTGTAGTCCAAGAACATCTGGGGATCCAAGATTGGGAACCATTGCTGTAGAGATACATAACTCGAGTAGCCTGATTTAGTTACTTTGCCAAACAAGTGCCCACAAAAGATTACATTAAAATGTAATAGTCTTTAAGGTGCCACGTGTTTTGGTCTTGTTTTGTTTTGTTTCTTTTTCTTTAAATTTTGCCCGATATGCTTGCACAGACTTAACGTGGCTACCCTTTCTAAAACTCCCAAAAGATTGTCTTGTTATAGCACGGATCAGGTCTTGCAAACCGAAGGCCGTGGCTTCTTTTATTGACTCAATTCACATCATATTAGCTCAACCTCTTTAGAATATGAGCCCTGTCTTCCCTGGAGTCTTCTAGTCTCCTTAGTGAAATCCCAGGGAACCCCCCACATTAAGGATTTCTTCTCATTTGTGTGAATGAAAACAGCATCAGCGAGGTGGAGCTGAGGGCCATTGAAGCACTTTTGTACTAGACAAAATCAGGAGTTATAACAGGCAGGGCATCAAGTTGCCTCACCTGAAGCCAGAGCAATTCGCTTCCTGAGATTCTTCCTTCCTATGAGATTCTTAGAGAAACCCTGTCATGGAGGGCAAGTGTCTGCTCATTGGGCGCAGTTTCAAAGCATTTTGATCAAGGAGTTCACTTTCCCTTCTCACCTGTCGGCTTCTCGTTTATAGGAAGGAGGGACCGAGAGTTCTTGCGATGGACAAAGCAGCCCTCAAATGCCAGCTGGGTCATCTCTGCTGCTCAGACCTCAGAGCAGGCCAGTGGTGAGAATCTTTCCTTTCTTCCTGGCTGCAGCCAGGTATGGTTTCTTCTTCGGACTTGAAAGGGAGATAAAATAAAATATTTTCCATACGTTTGGAGACAAGAAAAGGAAGTTCAAGCTCCTCCCAGCCATATTAGCTTGTGAAAAATTAAATTCTCACCAAAGAGTTACCTTTGATCCAGACGTTAATATAGTTCATCCTTTCTCCAAGTGTCCCAAACATGGGGAACTGTGAAGAAGATACTACTTAAAACATTTCAAATTCTACACACACTGGGCCATCAAAGATGACTGTAATTCTCTGAAGAAAAGTGAGAGAAAATGCCCAAAATCACTGTCCACCAACTTAGAAACTGAGGTGATAAACAAGTGATACAGCTCCCAAACTGTGGAAACTAAAAAAAAACTCTTTACCACTGTGAGGGATTACTATCAGGTATAGGTCTACTTAGGTATTCGTGCCATTCAGTTCAGTGGGGCTTACTCCCAGATCAGTGAATATAATAGGATTCCAGCCTTCGGGTGTCTCTACACCAGCCAAGTTTCAGTGTTATTAATTTAGTACCTGTCACTGCCATTGGCCTCTTTAGCTTGGTCATAATATTGGGTCTTATCCCTAAATTGCACCCTTATTTCAGAGGAACTGGAGTTGGCCCTGAAATCAGGACTTCACAAAAGAAGAACTGACATTGCAAAGGTTCCTTTTAATATTTAGCAATGCTAAATTTGGCAAAGGTTTTGCAGCTGCCAGCATTCACCTCTCCTTTCTCAGTGTTAGCAAGATTTTATAATTTTTTACATGTAATCTGATAAAACATACATTTGCTAATTAATATAGCAGCTTTCGCAGAGAACTTTTCGCTGCTTTATTTTCTTCCACACTCCCACACATCTTTTGCACTTCTTTGCAATGCCATGGCTAGTGAGGGGAAACCTCACAACCAAACAGTGGAGGCCGCAGCATCTTCTTTCCCCCTTGAGGACCACGTGTATAAATGGTCACGATCGTGCTAATGAAGGATCTCTGAATGACACTGGAATTCTAGTCGGAATGGGATATTGGGCAATCAAATGGTAGGCTGAGCTAATGCATAAATGGGAGAAGTTCCTTTTTTTGGACTACAATCCCAGGAAGGCCAGTGGTGGTTGGTTTCTGGGAGGGGTAGTCCAGAAACAATCTTTTCATGTCTCCAGATCCAATTGTGTTTTGTTTCAGGCTCCCACCATCCCTTATCTTGGCACCTTTTTGACAGATCTGATCATGCTGGATACAGCACTGCCAGATTTTCTGGAGGTGAGTATCTGTGGGAAGAAAAGCCAAGAGGGAAGTGAGAACATCCGTCGTTCTGAAGGCCCATGGGCAAATATGCGATGGCACAGCAGGGTGCATGACCAGGAAGGATACCAGCACCTTGTCAATGAGTTGGCAATTTGCCCTCATGACCTCTGCAGTTTAGTATATACAGCACTAAATTGGCAACAGGATTTGGACCAATGTTTGGTGGCCATGCCAGAAAATCCATCTGAATTTACAAAGCTGTCTTTCCTGAGTCAGACAAGAGCTTGGAGAACTTATTCCATGTTCTTCAACCCTCCAGAATTGCCCAGTTTGGAGGTTTCGTGGAGTCGTAGTCCAAAACAGTAACTTTCTAGAGCTCTGAGCAAAACCTCTTGCCCATCCAGCCCATGATCATCTTCATAGGCCATTTGCAGACTTCCAGATGTTGCTGGATGTCCACTTCTATTACTCCTCACCATTTTCTTTATCACTGAAGGCTGATAGGAAGTCAAGTCTGGTGCAATCTGGAAGGCCACAAGTTGCCCTCCTCTCATTCACACCAAACAGCCAACTTCCGATATGATGCTCTCTGGTCCATGAGCAATGCTGGCAAAAAGCTTTTCCCTCCCCTGACGCTAGAAGAGAAGCGCTGCCCCTTCCTCCACTCCTTACAGCCTTTACTCCCCCAAGGCGGTGCAAAAACACAGGGGAATGAGAGGGAGGAGGAAAAGTGTGGCGGCAGCAACAGCGGTAGGGGGTTGCTTTGAATAGCTGCCACTTACCTGGTCTCCTTTGGGGTACAGGTGGCTGTTTGCCCGCCTTGTGGTTGTTTGGGGCAAAGCCACTGCGGGATGTGGCAGTCAGTAGCTGCCAAAGACTCCTGAACCTACTGCTGCTACCCTTCTCTTCCTCTTCTTCCTCTACCCTGTGCCCAAGCCCCACACATGATCCTTCACCACCACCTGATCCCACACTCCCTCTGATGAACGGCCAGCCCAGCCCTGTCCACTGGACACGTCTTCATGGGCATCAGAAGTAATCTAGTGGGGCTTCTGGAGCAGATCAGCTGACTGGCTCTGTCATGGCCAGAGTCTGAATGTGATCGTTGTTTGGGGGTGCTGCTTCCTTGTTCCCCTGCATGAATCCTTATGCCATCACATAGTCTTCTGTGTTTAAAGAGCTAGAAAGGAGCCTGTCTTCCCAACTTGGAGTGGTCCTTTCAGAGCCTCACTTCATTTTCACCTCTTTTTGGACTGCTCTCTGTCACCTCAAAGGTGCTGCCTCAGAGGGTTTGCCTTCCTTCTGCCTGCCTCTGGAGGATGGAAGGGCTCGCTTTGAACAAGGGGAGAGGGGAAGTTCCCTCTCCCAATGTGGGCTCTTCAGCGATGGGCAGGCAGGTGGCATGGCTTGAACAGAGCTGCAGCTGAGTCTGTATTGTGTCTTCACATGTCACTTACTATCTGTTTTGGGTTTGGGTGTTTTTCCAATCCTGCAGGGCAACCTCATTAACTTTGAGAAGAGGCGCAAGGTAAGACTGAGCTTGAGCCGTTGGCAGACTGAAGGTGGGTGGGAGCTCCATATCTCTCAGTTCTCTGCCCAACATTGGCAAGGGAAAGGAACCAGAGACTGGGTAGTAGAGGTGGTGTAATGGCTAAGATGGTGACTCCGCTGCCCACATTCCTGGTTTGTCTGTTCTGTAGGAAGCAGCTATCCTGTCTTGCATCTATCACCTGCAAGAATCATGTCAGGGATACAACCTTTCTCTAAACCCATCCTTCCGTGATGCCTTCCACCAGCATCAGCAGTTATCTGAGGAACAAAGGTAAAGGAGGGAAAGAGGGAGGGAGGGAGAGGTGATGATTGGCTTGTATGATTTTGTAGGTCAGTGGGGTGGGAGGAGAAGAGGTGCCAACAGAGACAGATGGAACACACTAAAGAAGTGTGCAAGTACATTCGAGCAGCACAGTTTTAGTTACACACATATTTTTAAATAAACAAATAATGTGCTGCTATTTGTATCCAGAAAACGGTCTGAGAAAAGTGGATCTTGGACTTACTGAGGCTGCTGTCATTGATGATGGGGAAACAACCTGGCCAATCCTCTCTCCTGGCGTGGCGGCTCCACTGGTGGCCTGGGAAGGCATGCCAGGAGGTTAATCAACTGTTTATGCTTTGTCGTTGCTTTTTTGTTAACACTGATTTTGAGCTCCACGAGGGTCTGGTGCCCTTAAGCCCAGCATCGTTGAAGTGTCTATCCGTGGTGGAGAAATGAATGGCTACAGATACGGAGGGTCTCTCCACTCTTTCCCTGCAGTTACCGGATCTCACGGGTGATTGAACCGACGGCCGACTCGTGTCCTAACTCTCCAAAGCTGCATCGTAGCCTGACCAAGCGCTTCAGCTCGTAAGTCAGCCCTCCAGTTCCGGAGGCTGGGGTGTAGGAATACTTACCAGTCTCCCTTCTTCACCACGTCTTTTCTCTGGCCCGTCTGAAACTTGGAAAAGTCACATGTTTGGACTTGAACTCCCAGAATCTGCCAGCCAACACCTGTGGTGCTCAGGCCTCCTTAAGTAGCGCTTAGCACTCGGTCAGAGAGTTCGACGGGCCACTTACCTACCACCTTTGTGCTGAGGCAAGTCCCAAGACCTTAGCAGTGCATAGCGTAAGCCCCTTGAACAAGTCTGACCTTAAAAGAACACTTTACCTTTTCCCAGTACTTTACCGTAAGCCCCTTGAACAAATTCCTTAGAATTCACAACAGCTCAGTTAGGTAGGACTCTTAAAGATAGCTAGTTTGTGGCCCTCTCCACTCCCTGGATTTAGCCAGACCCTGCTGTTCAAGAGACCAGTCCTTTTGTAAGAATTTTTATGATTACTTTTTATTAGAAAAATAGATTTTCACAGAATCAGTTTATATTGCTCAAGCTTTAGCATAAAGAACATACTCAAAGATTATTACAGTTAAATAAAATAATGAATCCCAATTAAAATAAAAAATACTACTAAGCTGGGCTAGCCCCATCTCCTTCTTTCTCTTCAAATTCTCTGTCCTTCAAGCCACGTGCTCAAACCATCTTTTTCTCTCCCATCATCATAGAATCGAACCTCTTCCGCATAACCCATCGTCCATTTTTCTGCATTCTCTTAGCTCCTCCTTTCTTCTTGACACTTCATGGCTGTTAACCAATTAGCCTCAAGGGGCTGTAACACTTTCCTCCGCCTTCAATTCCCATGAAGATCCAGGTGTTTTATCTCTTCTCCAATTAGCTCGGAATGTTGAGCCTCTTTGACTGACCTTCAGTTTTAAGAAAAACACATTCCAATGTCTCTCAAATCATCTTCACACAGAACCTGACTGACTCCATCTTACATTTCTCTGACTACATATCCCACATTGCTTCAACTCCTTCACAGCACCAACTTTGGCTATGCAGGTTGTGGGGTTCAGGGATTTGCAGACCCCCAGAAAGGAAGCTCTCCACACTCTGGGCCTGCCAACAGCTCTTACCTTCTGCCCCTGAAGCTTTGAGCTGAGAATTTTGTCTATCCAGGGATCACCCCTTCTCTAGAACCGTGGCTCTTGACCTTTTTCAAGTCATGACCCTCTTTTATAATAGCCCAGTCCCCTGCAACATCCCCTGCCACATTTGCATAGAAACACACTTTTAATAGGGTAAACAAAGTACTGTACTTCTCAGAAAGTAGAAGCTTCTTCCTTCCCCTAGAGGGCCTGTTTCTCATCCATACAGATAACGTGCTAATATCTTGCTCTGAAAGGTCAAGGAAGAAATTATTTGACAAGGGCTGCAACTCATATAAGGTGGCACGTGCCCCCCTGGAAAACACTTTGTGACCCCTTTGGGGGTCAGGACGCTGTGATTGGAAAACACTGCTATGGCAGGTAGTCACCTCCAAACCGTATGACTACCACGTGACTTTAAACAGACTTCAAAAATTCCTGATCCCACCCCCAATGTATTTCAGTACTGTAACTGTGCCCTCACAGAGCTGTCAAGCCAGTTGTCCTGAAACATCCCACTTCCATCCTTGAGAGTGTAGGGAACTGAATCAGAGAGGAAGGGGCATGTCCCAGGCTACATGGTGAGCACACTGCAGATGCCAGATGTAACCAGAGCGGTTGTCTCGAGTCCAAAACCCACGTTCTGTCCACTGGTTCAGGTCAGCCTTGTTTATGCCTCCATCAAACGGCTTGGTCATTAAAGAGTGATTTGTGCTGCCAGCATAGAGGAAGCAGCAATGACTGAAAAAGAGGAGGAATAAGGGATTCTGAGCAGGACGTTTTGCTGGGTATCAGCCTCATGTCTAACAGTGGAAGGAGGGGAGACAGAAGGAGACTTAAGTGTCTCCTTCAACAGATATCAACGCACCTGTCATGTCCCATCTCCTCATCCTTCTTTGCAGACTTCTCCTGGGCTCAGACTCTTCTGGTGCTCCTTCAGGCCCTGATAGATCTGGAATTTCACCACTGGGCTCCTGCAGCAGCCTTAACTCTGAGGATGGATCCAATGCCCCTTGTTCCCCAACTTGGGGATCTCCCACTGTCAAGGTAATGTCTGTAATTTGATTCATAAAATGATTTTTGTCCCATCTTTTTGGCTCTGGTGAGCCCCCTTCAAACTAGCTTCTAGTAGTTTAGAGACCCTGGTGAGCCCCCTTCAAACTAGCTTCTAGTTTAGAGACATGTGGGCTGAAATTCTGTTGGTGTAACTTTCATTACCAAAAATTGCTGCCAGTGGGATGTCATCAGCTTTCCGCAGATGAAGTTACACCAAGAGGATTTTAGCCACAGTTATACAACAAATGCCGCGCAAGTGCAAGAGCATAACAATCTAAAACATAACCAGGCAACAATTAGCATTCTGCTGTATAACAGAAAAATTTCGTAGAAACCAAATACTTTCTAAAATCAAACAGGTTTGACGTAGCATCTGGAAAACATTAATGGAAGGGTCTGAGCGAGCTAAACCTTTCTTGGGAAGGAGTTCGATTGTCTGGATGCTGTTGCCTAAAAAGCATAATGATAAACTAAACAATAAACCTGAAATACAAGTTCAGACATGATAAGGAGCCATGACTTAAATAGGCTAAAATCCATAAGTCAGCAACAGAGCAGTGCTTCTAACTCTGGTTGTGGTTGGCTAATAAACTGTAGTTTGTTCCTGGGGATGGTTTCAGTCACAGCAATAGGCTAGAATTTATCAAGCCACAACCTGGCTTACCCTTATGAGAACCCAGTGATTTGCAGAGCCGTCGTCAGGGAGAGCTCTCATGGCTAGGTCCAGATTAGAGAAGGCTCCATTTCAAGTGGTGTATGTTTCCTTGCCAGCCATCCTCTCCAGCCAAAGATATTGGTCTTTTCTTAGAATGGGTCAACTGATTATGAGCCTAGCAAGGTCTTGGGGAAAAAAAGCTCTTGTTTTTCTTACATCTTATGTAACCCTCTTGACTTCCAGGGAGGAAGCCATGTTGAAAGTGTTGCAGGAAAAATAATGAGTCTTATACAGCCTTAAAGACAAATCTGGCTATTGTGACACAAACTTGTTGTCAAACCTAAAATCTCACTAGAAGCTAAAACAATGGGACTGACGCTGTCATACTTTGGGCATATTATGAGACAACAAGGCTTACTGGAAAAAAACAATGATATAAAAAGCGGAAAGTAGTAGGAAAAGAGGTCATAATGTGAGATGCGTAGACTCAGTTGTTGTTTAGTCAATTAGTTGTGTCCGACTCTGTGTGACCCCATGGACCAGAGCACACCAGGCCCTCCTATCTTCCACTGCCTCCCGGAGTTGGGTCAAATTCATGTTGGTAGCTTCAGTGACACTGTCCAACCGTCTCGTTCTCTGTCGTCCCCTTTTCCTCTTGCCTTCACACTTTCCCAACATCAGGGGCTTTTCCAGGGAGTCTTCTCTTCTCATCAGATGGCCAAAGTACTGGAGCCTCAGCTTCAGGATCTGTCCTTCCAGTGAGCACTCAGGGTTGATTTCCTTTAGAATGGATAGGGTTGTTCTCTTTGCAGTCCAGGGGACTCTCAAGAGCCTCCTCCATTGCCCATAAAGGAGATGACAGCCCTAGAGCTGCAAGACCTCAGCAGAGCTATTATTAGTCCCTAGGGTTGCTGTTAAGTTAGAAGCCACTTGGTGGCTCATAAGAACAAGAGAGACTTTTTGCGGCAAAGAGCCTACATCATCCGAGCCTGCTTTATCCTTCTTTGGTAAGTGGGTGTGTAGACACACAAACGTACAGAGGGAACAATGTCTAATAACAACAATATCAGTTCTTCTAGTCTGATATATGGCCTCACTCTCCTGCCAGCAGTACCCTTCTGTCTGTCCAAAGCAAGGAATTCGTCCTCTGCACAAAATGGAGGACATGTATCCAATATCGGAAATGGCCACGTTCAGGCACGAGTTGAAGAGGATTTCAGTCCTCTTGGACCCTCTGCCGCTGAGCTGAAAAGGGACAAGAAGCCACTTGTATACTCTCTAGAAGCATTATTTTGGTCGTTTTAAAATAACAGTTCATAGCATGATCTTTGCTGCCTGATTCTGCTGGCCCTCCCTGGACTGGACTTTGACATCTGCTTTGGATTCAGGCTGCTTGGAGGTTCCAGCAAAGGTCTCAAAAATCTAGCACGTTTCTCCAGTGGCTCCACCGATATTTGTACACCTTACCGTGTGTGTCTGTAGAGATACCTCAGGTGTTGGTGTAAGCCAGGTATGGTATGCTGCGAATATAAAACAATTAAATACACATGTTTTGTTTCATGTGTTGTCAAATCAGAGACTAATAATGACCCTAACTGGGCTGTCAAGGTAAGTGAGACATTTAAGGAATGGTTTTACAAATGCCATCCTGCCCCTAGTAAGCTTCCATGTCCAAACAGGAATGCAAGCCCAGATCTGAGTCAGTCCATTATCTGCTGCAAGACACTAGGTATTCCTCAAGATAAGCATACCAGAATATATAATGATCTGTCCTACACTGGCGCCTTTTTTTCTTCCTTTGCCCAGAATTTCCCTGTATCTCAGCCAAGAACCTCTTCTCCATTGGAACTGCCTCCAGCTTCTCCTATCTCTAAGCAAAGAGGGACAGAATCTCGTATCGTTCGTGTCAGTATGGATAATGAGCATGACAATGGCAATCTTTATCGTAGCATTGTGGTGAGTTGAACAGGAGGGAGTGCAAGCTGTGGGACACACAGAACATCAGATGCCAATTTAGAGATAACATATTTGGACTATTTTATCAAGTGTGAATGTAGCCGAAAGAGTTCCTTATGAACCTAGGATGTGCGTAGAATTAAGTAGTCAGCCTGAATAAGGCAGGTAACCAAGATTGTTTGGTAGTGGTGAGATTATGTGGGAAAACAAGTTATTGTGATGGGCCACGGAAATATTCCAGATGTTATTTCAACAGGAAAGTCTAAACTGAAGAGGGGTTCACAAAGATAATTGGTGTAGAAGAAAATCAGGGGCAAAAGAAAGCTCTTGGGTAGCCCTTACAATTCCAGAGGTTCCCAGAGTAGATTTTATGTTGCTGCCCTTCTGCAACATACATGTAGCATACTTTTGTTGAACAGCTTGGTAGAGTCAAGGCAGTATTAGTAAAAAAGAAGCAAAGCATTGGAAACCTTTTGGCTCTTGGGGAATTATGTTTATTTCTTATATAGTTAGCAGAATGTGAGATTTTTTAAAAATCATCAGGGAAATGTGAGAGAATAGACCACATCTTAGCACTGCATTCACTTTCATTGTGACTAGCACTTTATATAATAAAAAGTCACTCTAGAAGCATTTTAAGTAGGAAGAAAGTACCTTTACTTACAATTATGATCTGCAGTTACATTCAGAGGAATAAAAGAGAAAAATACGGAGTCTGCCATGTGGATGAGAGGTCCATGCATGCCAGTTGCATGGTTGGAGTCCAGAGGGAAAAGAGAGGGCTATCAACAGCACAAACAATAGAAGTGAGCAAAACAGGAAGAAGGGCATGGGCTTGCCTGAAATGCCAGAGGTGGGAAAAAGAACTTTATTAATAGGTTAGTGGCAAAGGACAATCACCTTAGGTGGTGAAGCCCCCTCCCACTGATACTCAGCGTTACTGCATGCAAGATTGTTATTATGTCAACATTGGACTTGACTGCCATTTGGTCTGCAGTTTTACGTTGTCCTCTGAATGAGTTTTACACTATGTTGCCACACTGTTGGGCTCCATCTGCTGTGACCCAGAAGTGGGTGGATTTTCCCTACAGATCACCAGCCAAGACAAGACCACAGCTGTAGTACAGCGTGCCTTGCAGAAGCACAACCTGGAAGGGGACTCCCCATGCAACTACCGACTCCTACAGCTTTTGGGGGATGGTCAAGGTGAGAAAAAGAAATCCATGGGCGAGGGCACCAATGGGGAGGAGGGACAATGGTATTGCCAGCTGTATCCCTCCCATTCTCTCTTTTTCTTATTCTCTCTCTCTCTCTCTTGCCACAAGAGCTGCTGATTCCTGAAGGTGCCAACGCTTTCTACGCTATGAATCCCGCTGGTCCTCACGACTTCCTCCTGAGCCTCAAGGAGGAAGCCACTGTACCCCGAAGTCTGGGCACTACACAGCTTGGTGGCAAAACAGCTCCCCACAGTCCCCTCACATTCAAGGACTTTGGCACCAGAACTCCTGCTGCCACTTTGCACCCCACACTTTCTGGTCACAGCCCACACTCAGCACCCCCCAGCCCAGTTCATCTTGGCCCACCATCTCCTGCTGTGCCACCGCAGCTCAGGCCGTATCTCCTGACACCTCCTCCATCTCCAGCTTCTTCTCCATGGTTTCCAGGAATTCAGCCACCAAGGTGCCTTCCGGAGTCTCCTCCTTTCTCCTTGTCCCTGCCTCTTCCTCAGCACTCGATGACCCTGGGACCCTTCAGGCCCGCCCCACCTGAGACTGTTCTGCCCTCTCCCTTGCAGAGCCCACAGACCTCTTCTTCGGTGTCCCAGGTAAACCCCGGCTATTCCCTAGGGGCCTCCCCCAACCCCTGTGCTGCCCCTCCCTTTTCAGCGCCGTGAGGTTTTCGAGGTGGCCGAGTGGTCCAAACACCATTTCCCAAGGCAGCCCAGAAGTGGATCAGGGCTGAATGCACCTCTCTGGTTGCTCCATTTCCCAAGGCAGCCCAGAAGTGGATCATCAGGGCTGAATGAACCTCTCTGGTCGCTTTCCCTTTCTGTACTACTAGGTTGAAGAACAGAGAGCAAAGGAGAGAACTCCCTCAACTCCAGGAGCGTTCTCATTTTTGGTATTTAGTAGGGATTTTCCATTTTGGGTATTTCATACCTACATGCTAGTCACTTTCACCTGGGTGTCCTAGAGGCCCTCTGGTCCAGAAGGCAACATGTTATCTCCCAGATATTCTATTAAAGGCATTCTGTAAGGCAAGATCAGAGGACCTGCGGAACATCCATGCCCTTTTTTAGGCGTCCGAGTGGGTGAGCCAAATCGCTGGCCACAGAGGAAGGCAATGCTCACCTTCTCAGCCTTCAGAATTCAGTAGTGTGGACAAGGAGAAATGGGCACAGTCGACTTTCTAGAACTGGATGGATGTTTATAGTTGAGTCTATCAATCAGCGAAAAGGAAGCATAGCTGGGAAATAGACTCCAAGTTTAGATATGCCCATCAATAAAGGAATTTATTGTGAAGCAGTTGTTTTTTCAAAAAGTGAATTAGGATGAATAATGTAAATTGTGCTAGCGCGTCCTCCACATTGGGATTCAGAGACATTGTGGGAAAAACACAAGATCCTTTCAGCGGGAGAACTCCTTGCACTACCAACCAAAAGGCATTCTGCAAATACTGTATTCCATCTTTTCCCTCCCAAGAAGCACTGCATGTGTAAGAAAAATAATGGGAAAGTCTGGGCTGTGGGTAAACATGGGAGGGACATGGGAGGGTTACAGATGGAAGATGGCCATCCGTGGCCCCATAGAAAATGGGTCCGGACATTTGAAGCTGAGAAATGGGGAATTACGAAATCTCATCTGGAAATGTCTCATCAGAGATAGAAATATCATAGTCATCATACTCGTCATAATCATCATTCTGAACTACAGCTCCCAGGAATTGTCAGCTAGTATGGCTGTGAGATTCCTGAAGATGTAGTTGAAAGAGGCAACTTCTCTTCTGTGCAGTTGGCCATGTCTGTATCTGGAAGCCTTTGGCCTCTGGATTACTGGGCAAGAAAGAAATTACAGATAAGCCTACAGGCAACTGTATCAATGTGACATTATCTCTTATGCTGCAAACCTACCTAGTCACTTGCGGTTACTACTTCTTATGCTGCAAACCTACCTAGTCACTTGTGGTTACTACTTACAGTATATCAGGAAATAAGGCAAAGCCATACATGGTAGCATATTTTAGGGGATCAGAACAGCAATGAAGACAAAACCAAGGATGAAGGCAAGCCCTAAATCTTCCAAGAACAGAAGTGTTTTACAAAAGCGTCGATGGGATAAGTTATTTGTTCTACTTGCATACTAATACAGTAATAGCAATGATTACATGCTGTCTAGTTGATTCCAATTTCATGGTAACCCTTTCCAGGGTTTTCAAGATATAGAATACACCATTTGCTGGATTCCATTCCCTGCACTAGAGAATATAACCGAACAATTAATGCCCTTACTGAAAATTTTTCCAGAAAAGTAGTTGGTCGTGTTAATCTGTGGCAGGAAAAACCACAAAGTCTTGAGCTTAACAAAATTACTGTGGGACACACTTGTGAACCAGACCACAATTCATTTATATATGGAATATTATCCTCAGGGTGGCAGATTTATATATACATGGCTATTATAAGTGGGGGAATTTTAATCAGTGAAGGTAGAAGGATTTCAAATATAGAAGGTACAGGCAATGAAAAAATATACAATATTGTTTTTGTACAAAAAACTATTGGGTAACAACAGTATTCATGGAAACGGGGAGCTCATAAACACATATAATATGTATGTAGATTAAAAACAAAAAGCCCTTGTCTTTGTTCAACCCATAGGAGATGGAGCTGCGTCTCTTGATGAATTTGAGGATGATCTCTGTCTTTAGGGTCTGTTTGATCCACCGTAACTATTTCGAGAACAAAGACGGAGTGATAAAGGAGACTGCAGTTTTTTTTAATATTGACATTTTGGATACCAGATTTGTGTCCTTTTATTTTTGTGTTATCTGAAGTCTTGCCTTTTTGTCCTGTATAAAGTGCAGACTGCCTCTGCTGGCAGTTGATGTCACAATATCAAACAGGTGTATGAAGCTGACGTTGTGGAGGACTTCATTAAATCCTATAATAGTTGCTGAGACCAGATATGGGAACGGGGTTGGCATCTGTGTTGTATCTATAAATATGTCAACTTGATGGTACTATATTATATACTCTCATATATAGGCTGGCAAAAGATTCTATAGGGTTTCCACCAATCACTGTTTTACTAAGCATATGATAATTAGCTATTGTCAACCACAACAGGCATGTTGTTACCACTGTATCAGCATTCTCAGAGATTTCAGACACTACAAAATAAAGTTTCAATAAACTATTCCTTATTATTTCAATCAGGGGTGGATAAAGGGTGGCCTACTAGAGGTTGCTGGACTGCAGTTCCCAGCATTCCTCACCCCTCATGATATTGGCTAGAGCTGGTGGGAACCGCAGTCTGACTACACTGGCAGATTATGTTTTGTCCCCACCTCAAGACTGACATTTCAAAGCAGGGGTTGGACAATTTGTGCCCCTTGAGATGTTGGACAGCATAATCTGCAGTGAGGGGAGATTTGCCTAATAACATCTGGAAGGTCATGATTCACATGCCAATTTACGCTTTGTCGAGCCAGTGTTGTCCGAATTCTCTGTCAGGTCAAACAGATAGTCAAATGACTTACCTTGGGAGCTAAACTCTATAGTCATGCCCCTCAAACTTCAGTTCCATGGACGAAGTGACTATCAGAGAGGTTGAAAACAGGAGGAATCAGATGTGCTAACCCATTAGCTGGATACCTTTGGATTAAGCTCCTGATAAACCCATTTTCTCTCCAATGAATGGCTTCCCTTCTGGTAACCTTCTTTGAACTAATGTTCTTTGGAATCACCCTTTCATGACTCTGCAAACAGGGAATTCTTCGTTGATTTTTGCAGAAGGATAACGTATAACATTTATTTGGGGGTTTGGGGTGAGGGCAGAAGAAAATACAGCAAATCATAACAAATTCATCCTAATGATGCCATACCTTCACAGGATCGCGAGTGCTTTGCCAATTTGTGACTCTAAGGCCTGGTGAAAGGTCATTGTTTGATAGGGCAAATAGGCCTGATAATAATCTGTAGATGGCCACAAGGGGTCTCCAAAGGGGAAATAAGGGTTTAAACGGAATAAAAAGAGCAGACATTCAGCGAGCCACACAAAGCAGAGCTTACGCAGAGATGATGGTGGGAGTAGTTCTAAATCTGTCAGCATATAACAGGATGATATGAAACAACTTGGGCAGGGATCCCAAGTCTCAGCTAAGGAAAACAACTAAAAGTCTGCCCATGAGGTGGCGTTTAGAGGCCTTTTGTCCCTTTATTCATAGCTTATGTCAGCCTGCCTGAGCCACTCTCTTGCAACTCGCTCTGGCCGGTGGTCTAGAAATGCACACCTACCTTGAGAGAGTTCCTCTCTCAAAGCTCATGTGTGCCCACCCCACTCCATATTTGTTCTATGGGGGTGAGAGATAGTGGGTAGTGCTCTACTCTGGCGCTCACATGAGCAGCTCTCTGCATGTCCCATCCCAGGACCTCTTCCAGGAAGAGGGAGCTTAGCTTGGCACCTGCTCAACTCTTGTCCTTTCTTGATGCCCGACAAAGGAGGTGGAGTGGCAAGACCTTTGTGTGGCACTGGTGCCAGTACTGAGAGCATAGGCACCTCAAGACAACGTACAAGGCCTGAGTGAGAAAGATGAGCAGGAGCGGCCGTCTAGCAAGATCTGGAGTTGCTCATCCCTACCCACCCCAAAACATACTTGTCACTTGGCCAGGTTTGACTGAATGATAGTGGTCTTCATTTCTTTCTCTGGGAAAGATGGGAGCCCTCGTGGCTCCTGGTCCCAGTGGTGGAGGGGTACATTTTGAGCTGAGGTGTCCCCTCGCATCAGATCATGGGCTGCCCTGGAAATGAAAATCCATAGAACGTGGAGACTCCATAAATCTATTAAAAACTCAGTGCAGATTGGTAACCTCATACTAAATTTGTGGATAAATATCTGGAAATAGTAGCAGAACTGACTCACGGTGGTGCAACAGTCATTTACCCTAAGGAGTGAGTTATTACGTGTAAGAACCGTAAGCTTCGTTTGCTTCTCAAAATAAATTCCTGCATTTAAGATTATTTCATTCTAACTACATGTTTCATACCAGGCTTCAGCTGGTTCGATCCTAGTGAAAAGAACACAGTAGATCTGGCAAGCTTGAAGCCAGTCCACCTTTGGGCTGGACCCAATGTGGCACAAACTTCATAGATTCGTCCATGGCGTGCAGAAAATGAACAGGGACATTGGCTGGACTAGATGGAGAATTAGCCTAGTCCACGAGGGTTCTTAGTTAATTTGGCCCCTGATGCCCCAAATTCACTGTATAGACATTTGAACTGTGTTTTTTATAAGATCAGAAGAAGGTTGTTTTCTTTCTTTCTTTCTTTCTTTCTTTCTTTCTTTCTTTCTTTCTTTCTTTCTTTCTTTCTTTCTTTCTTTCTTTCTTCCTTTCTTTCTTTCTTTCTTTCTTTCTTTCTTTCTTTCTTTCTTTCTTTCTTTCTTTCTTTCCCTTCAAGTAAAACTAAATAACAGCTAAATGGGAGGGGAGATCAGATAAGAGTCTGTGACTTCAATATCTTTGCCATGATGTTTTCAAAAAGTACGACTGGGTTGAATAAACAGCCTCACTGCAGGAGGAGCACATTCCTGCAACCTTATCATGGCCAAACACTTTCTGTTTGTTTGTCCCTACTTTTCACCTCTAGCGCCTCGTCTCCCAAATCAAGCACTGGCACAACAGTTGTGTGCACCAAAACTGAAGCTGGCTTGCTGTGAAATATGCACGCTTCACTGCAAAGGGGTGGTTCTCCTTAAGGCTTTGAAAATGGAAAGGAACCCTCCATTTACGGCTTCTTCTTTTTTCCCCTTTCCTCCATGCAACTGATCTGTGGACTGTAGGAAACATTTACACAACCATAGGGCTGAGGGTTTTGTTTCAGTGTTGTTGTTGTTCTTGCTCTTGTCCTGTTCCATCAAGTCACGTCCAATCTATAGTGTGACCCTTTGAATGAGGGATCTCCAACATGTCCTGTCCCCAACAACCCTGCTCACCTGTTGTAAACTGAAGCCTGTGGATTCCTTTAGGAAGTCCATCCATCTTGTATTCAGTCTTTCTTTTTTCCTGATGCCTTCAATCTTTCCCAGCATTACAGTGGTGCCTCGCTAGACAGTTACACCGCATGACAGTTTTTTCGCTAGACATTGACTTTTTGCAGTCGCTATAGCGATTCGCAAAACAATGATTCCTATGAGGGAATTTCGCTGGACAATGTTTGGTCCCTGCTTCGCAAACCGATTTTTGCTAGATACCAATTTTGATAGCTTCGCAAAACGGGTGTTTTCGGGACCTAAGCTTCGCAAGACAGCGATTTAAATAGCTGATCGGTGGTTCGCAAAGCGGCTTTCCTATGGCCGATCTTCGCTAGACAACGACGATTCTTCCCCATTGGAATGAATTAAACAGGTTTCAATGCATTCCAATAGGGAAATGCTTTTCGCTAGACAATGATTTCGCTAAACAGCGATTTCAGTGGAACAGATTATCATCGTCTAGCGAGACACCACTGTATTGTCTTTGCAGAGAATCTTGCCTTCTCATGAAGGCAATCTTGTTCTGTGTACTCCCGTGAAAAGCCAGGGGAAGTTAACTGTTTTTGACTACAACTCCCAGAACCCACTGCAGCCCAAGATGGCTGTGAGAGTCTGGGAGCTGTAGTCCAAAACAGTAACATTTCCAAATTCTGCTCTCACTCCACTATCACCTTTAGTAAATAGATTTGTTAGATCTTTCTGGCTTTTCCCCAGGCCTGCCCAACCTACTTGTTACATTCATGAGAGAACACCGACCATCTTGTTGCCTTTGTGACAGCTGCACAAGGAAGTTGGGAACCGGCTTGTGTTTAAATTTCCAGACAGGCAACATTGCAGAGGGCACTGACATGATGGGGTTGCCGGGGCAGGGGTGGGGACGGACACTGCTTTCCATAATGTATACCCAGATCCCTTTTGTTCCACCACTTTATCTGGTCATCTTTCATTTGATGGATTCATGGGCTACAGAAAGCACATACTTTCCTGGGTGGCTTTGGGACGCATGTGCCACTGTTTGAACTTCCCGACTATACAAATGCAGCTGTCCTGAAGAGGAAGCCTGCCTTGCAGAGCGGTCATCCCATCGAGTGAAAAGAGAGGGGACATTGGAGAAGAGGTCACCCTGTTAGTCTGTGCAAGCATTTCAGGCAAAATGCAAACCCAAACCAAATAATATTAATAATTTTTTAAAAAGACAAAAACAAGTGGCACCTTAAAGACTATTATACTGTATTTTAATGTCAGCTTTTGTGGAAAAGTCCACTTCATCAGACATACTGGTGGGGGGGGGAAGAAATGAAATGCTGGATGAAATATGAACTGGTATGAATTAGTATTTCATCCAGCATTTTATTTTTCTCTGCTGGATGAAATATGAACTGGTATGAATTAGCATTTCATCCAGCATTTTATTTTTCCCTGCATGTCTGATGAAGTAGACTTGTCCACAAGCCTATTAAATTGTAACAGTGCCATATGTTTTGTCTTCTTGAAAAATTGTTTTGTTTTGTCTCTTTGGATTTGGCCTGAAGAGAGTGATACTTTCCTAGGCTAATTTGTTCCTCTGGGTTGTTTTAATGCTAAACAAAATTATCATTTGTTGTTGTTGTTACTCATGGTGGTATGATGCTCTTTTGTTGCTACTGCTTTTATCTTACCTAAAAAAGAGAGGAAATCTTCTGCTTGTGCTTCCAGGCTCTGCCCCTGAGGGACAACAGAGTTCGCCCTACAGACTCACCTTCTGTCATACAAAATATGGATAAATGTGAGCTGGTGGGCAGGGATTGGCCTGACACTAGTGTCCACCTTGGTGTCCCACACACCTCCTCCAGCATCCAGCTAAGGGGAAAAAACAACTGACACACAGCCAGAAAGCGGATATAGGGAGGCCACTTTGCTGAGCCCCTGCTTAGGGCCAAAATGGCAAGGGGTGGAAGTGATTCAGGAAGGTAGGAAGGCATGGGCACCTTCCGTGGCAGGGGCAGAGAGCAGAATAAAGGTGGGAGAGTCCGTGGCTAAGGGGAAAGAAGGGAGCAGTGAGGACCACAATGTGCGTGAAGAGAGGAGTGCTGTTCAGAATTGGCCTGTGAACCCCTGACACCCAGAGGAGCCGTTGTGCTTCTGCTTCATGGAGTTTGACTGGCCGTGCCCTCCTCCAGTGCCCAGCGCCTGACGGTTTAGCTGTGGCAGGGCACTGGGGCAGAGCCTACAATCAGGCAACTGGACCCTCTTAAGTTGCCCCTTGCCCAACGCCAACACGCTCTCTGACGCAGCTACCGCCTTGGCGGCAGCAATGGCACTTCAAGCGGCTCCGCCAGCTGAACCAGAACCTGTGGGCCCAAAAGGAACAACGGAAGGGGCTCAGGAGCGGTGGAACCTGTATTTGGCCTGAGCCGAAGACCGTGTTGCCGAAGGACTCGGGGATGGACTGTGAAAGCCAGAGGCAAAGGGTGGCAGAGAATTACCCTGACGGGATGTGCAGAACCGTGGGAGGCCAAGAGATTGTGAAGTGAGAGACCACCTGATGGCAGATGGATCTGCCACTTGGATCTCGTTGAGGAACAAAATGGCAGGTTTGCAACAGAGGCTGTCCTCCGGTGTACCGCTGACTACCTCACAGGGCCCTTCAATGTCCCCCTGCCCATGGGGGTCTTGGGGACCTGCACAATAACTTAGCTTGCCTTTGGTTGGAAAGAGAAGGCCTAAAGGGGCCTAACGGGGCATCTTGCCCTGAAGTCGCCACTGCTCCAGTCTTTTCCCAACAACCCTTAAGGAAGGAGGCTTCGCCTCTGTCCTGAGCAGCTTCTTACAGTTCCCTAAAACTTGGAAAGTTACTTTTAAGAGGAATTAATACAATGACCTGCTGAAGACCTTGTTCACACTGGAACAGTGGTAGGATGATGTCTGGGACCATGAGCATCATCATATCTTTGCTCAAGGATGGATGATAGGTTCACTATGCCATTATACCTTTATTCTTAAAAGTAACTTTCAAGTCGTTCCAGTGGACTGGAAAAGAACCCCCCCACCTTTATTATCATCAGATTCTTAAAAGACCAGTGTATTCATTCTCCTCCTTCCATTTTCTGAAGTCAATTTCTAAAAGAGGATGCCTATCTCAAAGTGATATCTGTTGACCTGGGCCAACTGGTGGTGAAAGCAGGCATTTCCCAATCTGAAATGATGCCCAGGAAAAAAAACATGCAGGAAGTGGGGTCTCGTTTCCAGTGGCCATCTGGGGATCCTTGGCGCAATCATCCTCCCACTCTGGACTGCGATCCTTTCCTGTACTCGTGAGAAATCCACAGGGCGCAGGGCTGCTCTCTGCTCTTGCTGCTCAGTCTCTCCTCAGAGTTGTGGCTGTTGTGTTGTTGCTGGTCCGCCCCTTATCTGCAGCCTCCAGCTGGGGAGCAGAGCCAGGCTAGGCAGTTTCTACAGCCAGATGCAGATGCACAGAGCAGGTGAAAGGACGCTTCTGGCAGGAAAGCATGGAGCCAGGCGGGAGATGGGTCACTGCCCTTTTGGCCCTGATGCTTTGGCCCTTGGGCTCAACGCAAGGGAGCGCTGGAAACCTTGGTGCTCACTTCAACAGCAAAGGTACCTGCTATGGTTTGGGGTGGGACTAAGCAGCTGAGCCCCATACACATGGGGTGCAGGAGCAAGCAACGGTGGAGGTAGAAATGTGGAGTCAAGGAGTAACTTGCATTGTTCAGAGAGCAGTGACTTCTGTGTGTGCCTCTGAAGTTGGAGAAAGTATTCTTTCATCACTTGGTTCTACTGGCTGGGAGATTCTGGGACTTGTGGCCCAGAAATAACTTTCCCAGACTCTGATGGGCTGCCTTGCAAGTACTGTAGTCAGTTGTGTGTGGCAAGGTTGGGTGGGTTGCCTTTGAGCTCCTTGGAATGAGTGCAGCAGCCCGCGGTGTGGCCATATCAATCGCCACGTGCAAGACTGATCTGATTGAATAGCCTCTAACCTTCTCCATCCCCTGTACCTGACCTTTGTCTTCCTGTCTCTGTCGTTCATCTGTATCTCTTGTGCCATGTGATTCTTCACAAATGTAGAATGGAAAGGTTTGGCAGGGCTGAAACCAGAAGCTTTGCCGCTGGGCGGTCACTGATCGCTTGCTCTTTCTTTTATTCTTTAGTTCTGGCTAGCTTGAAAGGAGCAGCTTCTTGTAAAGTCAAATGGGGGGTTCTTCCTGTTTATTGGAAGTGTCTCCTTTCCAATCAGACCTTGATTCTGCATGTCTGTGAGTGCATTTCCCAGAGTGTTCAGAAAGAACAGACTGAGGTAAAGTGGAGAATTTCCTGGCTCGGTTTCTGTGGAAAAGTAAAACTGGTCAGTCCTTGGTTGCATGAAAGAGATGACTCGTCCTGGGACAGGTTGGCAACCCAATGTGAATGGATTTTTAGATATTGTAGAGCTGGCATTCATACTATAAGCTTCCAGATCTTATTTTCTTGCTTAGCACTTAGCATGAGTATTGTTTGTTTTCCTGTGGTAACAAGAGTATTTAACTGAAGATCAGTATTAGATACTCAAGCAGCAGCAAAAAGAGAAAAAATAGTACTTTTCACCAAAGGACCTTCAAGGTTCAATATCTGTGGAGAACTAGGTTGCCAGTGGCTATACTTCACATGTTTGGCTCAGGCCCGCAAACCAAGGGTGTACTGAGCAAAGTGGATCCAAAGCCCCAAAGCACAATAAATGGTCACTATATTATAGTAATATTATAAATTATCAGTGTGGCAGATAAACACTCATTTGTTCTCTCTGAGAATATGAATGCTGCAGTTAAGAGCCTACAGGAAAAATGTAGAGGGGCAATACATTTTGTTGCTTCGTTAGTTACAGGATGTGCAGGTGCCTAAGTAATTACTTATTTGAAGCAGGTGGGAGGCATTTGGCTTTCACAAGTAGCTGAGGAACTTCTATTCTCATCATATCTCACCATTGGCCAAGTCTACCAAGATGGATGGGAGCTGGAAATCATCAGCATGGGGGGAAGCACAGATTCCCCAACTCTGATTTAAATATTGCTGTGTGTGTAATAGGCATCAACCCAATTCTGGCTTCTGGTACTCTTGCATGGGTTCCAGGGTATTAAGTATATATACTTAAGTATATTTTTCATGGCTGAGCAGGGATTTAAACCCAGGTCTCCTGAGTCCTAGTCTGTCATTCTATCTCCTATACTGCGCTGGGCTCCTGATTTTAAAAATTATTCACTGAAATATGGAGAGTGATAAAATGTGTGTAATGCACCTAACACGTATATGTGGGTCTTTCAAGGCAGTGGTGATGAAGCAGTTTAACTCAGATCATCTGAGTAACACGGCCTGTTATTTTATTGCTGCAGTATCTAGGGAGTATCTGTTTGCATTATAAAATAGTCCTTACCACAAATATGGCAAACTTTCCTGCCACTTTAAACCCATGTACTTTTCAAATAAACTGGTGCATCTTGTTAAGCACTGAATAAACTTGCATGTGTGAATGAACCCTTCTGTGTAAAATAATTTGAAAACATACCCCCTGTTCCAGTAGGACAAATTGCCTATGCTTTCAGCTTTTGCACATCTGGTTTTCTGCACCATCTTGCAGTGGCGGAGCAAGAGGCTTAGGACACTCTTCCCATTTTACAGATAGCAAGCTGCAAGCGATCAAGGCTAACCACTGTGTCTGTAGCTGAAATGAACTCTGAAGCCAGGTGGGGGGTGGGGGGTCTCTCTCTCTTTCTCTTCTATCATCATTATGAGTCCCCCCCCTTTCCTGCACTACTTTCTCCAGTCCAGATTCTGCTGGGACTGGCGGGAACGGAAAACAGGGTGTACACTCAGGCTCAGCCCTTATCTCAGGAAACACATGTCAGATGGAGAAGGCTGAAAGACATGTGCCTCTGTGTGTGTATGTGTGTGTGTGTGTGTGTGTGTGTGAGAGAGAGAGAGAGAATGTTACTGTAAGAATGAGAAGAGAGTCATAAAACACGTAGCATAGCTCCTGATCATGTGGTTTTCTATATTGTGGGGACCATCCACACCGCCTGCCAAACAACAACAGCTAGTTTTCTTGACCTCATTTCCTCTCAATGCTTCTCTGCCCTTTGCTGTCACCCTGAGACTTGTTTCCCTTTGTTGGCTGTATTTGCACAACAGCATGTAACGTGTTGCTTGATGTCCCCCTACCCCAAATCCATGTCTCTTCTTTCACTCTCCGGTAACGTTTGAGTAAAAAGTAATGTCATATGACCCCATGATCCTACCAGTCTTCCTGCACCTGTTTTCCTTCACTGGTCAGGATGGCCAGGTTTCGGGATTTAATGTTGAGACTTAGATTTGGAAGTCCATTCTCAAGGTCTCAGGCTTGGACCTGAAACCTCAGCGAACGCTAACCCTAGATTTTGGGCTTCAGGACATGTCTTTTAGACCAGTGGTTCTTAACCTTGGGTTAGTCAGATGTTTTTGAACTGCAACTCACAGAAACCCCAGCCAGTACAGCTGGTGGTGAAGGCTTCTGGGAGTTGCAGTCTGAAAACTCCTGAGTAATCCAAGGTTAAGAACCACTGTTTTAGACAACGAGAGGCATCCATCCTCTTGTATGTTGTAGAACTGCTGCCACTTCTGTGATTCACCTGGCTCTTGATGAATCTCTGTGTTCTATCTTGGTTTCAAGTTTTGGCCCTAACATCTTAGGTAATTGAAGGCTCCTGACCTAGCAACCTAATTAATTACCCGTTGGCTTTGAGGGGTGGCAAAACTACACACTGGCATGGTATCATCTTTAACTACATATGTGTGAGTGTCATGGATAGCAACTGATGCCAGGTCTAGCCAGCACAGCTAGTGTTGGGAGAAGGGACCTGATGATCCATAGGATCCCTTCCAGCTCTGCATTTCTATGATTTTTAAGATTTCTAAGTGGATGGGAGCTGCAGTCCAGCAATATAGAGAGAGCTGAACATTTTCTACGCTCAAGTAAAATATCTTTCAGGAAGTTGCAAGGGGGGCACAAAGTCGCCAGCACAGCTAGTGTTGGGAGAAGGGACTTGATGATCCATTTTCTACCCTCAAGTAAAATATCTTTCAGGGAGTTGCAAGGGGGGCACAAAGTACAGCAATATAGAGAGAGCTGAACATTTTCTACGCTCAAGTAAAATATCTTTCAGGAAGTTGCAAGGGGGGCACAAAGTCATGTGCTCTTCCAGATGTGTCATTTGGAAGTTTTAGATTTCAGTTTCAATGTTTTCTAGAATTCAGGGTAAGGATATCCAAATGATGAACCTTGAAGGATGTGGGTGGGTTTGTTTGTTTTTGGCCTACAATGTCCATCAGCCCTAGCCAGCATAGCCAGTGATGAGGGACCATGGGGGTTGGAGTCTTGAAATACCTGGAGGATCGCCATTGCCTAACTCTACCTCAGGGTTTAAAGAGATGTATTTGAATATGTTTAGGGACCTGTCTAGCAATGTTTCTGAAGCAACAGCAAGTTTTTCAGGGAGCAGAAAAACAGGGCCTCATACAGCTCTACCCCATAACTCTATGAAATCATGTTAACATCACTTTGGGGTGGGAGGCAGCAAAGTGGAGCAAAAGCGGAGCATTAGAGATACCTGCCTTTTGTCATGCTGCAGCTCTGGTCTAAAAGCTCCACTTGCCACCTGGTAGGGGCGGTGTTGTTTTTTACTGAAAGAAGCCAAGCCCTTGATTCAAATGGAGTCTCGTCCTTTTGAGAAGCAGAATCAATTCTACAAAATGTGTTAAACTGGATTTAACACATGCTTAATTTGATTTTGCTTAATTTGTGCAATCTATACAAATTGCAGAATTCTCCTCTTTAATGTGGGGTTGGTTTCCTATGGCAAAAGGGATGGATGGCTTCATGTTCACTTCGGAATGCACAGCTTTCCTGGATAGCAAAGAGGTACGTTGATGGTGGTCATGGTGGTCTTAGAGAAAAAAAAACACCCACTTCTCTAGTTCTGTGGATAACATTAAGCCTGTGCCTCTGCTTTGCCTCTAGTTACTTTTCTTCTGGCTAAGGAGCCCCTGGACCCCAAGTGTTTCACACAACAGCTGGAAGATCTGACCTGTTTCTGGGAAACGTCTGAACCAGCAACAGAGCAAAACAGTCCGGCCACATACACTTTTGCCTACAAGTTTCAGTAAGTAGCTTACAAGAATGGATTGTCTCAAGACTCAGCCTGATCCAAGAATATTGAGATGTGACCAATTTGATAAGCACATAGCTGCAGACCTGGCAAGCCGCCTCCCCAAGGCTGCCCCCTTCCTGAACCTTTTATGATGCCTCTACAGCTGTGCGCATTACAGGGTCATCTCTTGATTCCTCCGCAGGCACAAAGTTATTTCAGAGAAGCCTCCCTGCATCTGCTGCCCCTCAGGTGTATCGGAATACAAACCCCATCATTTCAGCTGTGAGACTTTCTGGCTAGGGATGATGGGAGCTGTGTCTGTGACACAAGGGATTATAGGGGTGAGATGTTTCAAAACTATGAGACGTTGTGTTCCCAAAGCCACAAGTGTCTGCCACCCCCTCTGCTCACGAATGAGGAAGGGTTTATAGCTGGGCACTCTATCTACTACACCTACCAAATCTCAAATAAATTGAAGCTACAAAAATACCTTTAACTCCCACCATCTAGCTATGTTCCCAATGAGAATCTAAGACCTTTGTCCTTAAAGCCATTTCATAAGTAAGAATACCTTGTGTGATCCACAAAGATACAAGCATTTCTGAGTACTGCAATATAGAGGACAGGCCCATGCCATGTTATGGGGTAGAGGTTTGAGGGATCACAGGGTAGTTCCTTTTGACTCCACAATGGCAGGGGAGGCAAGATTTGGGAATGGGGTCAAACTGCTGCTTGGCCAGGTGATGACATAAACATTCACAAGGACAACCTGAGCATTGATCCTGGCAAACTCTAGCTAACTAGGCAGTATGGTAACTCAAAGCCAGGGTAAACACATTTATTAGCAAATGGACTTGAGGCAAAATGCATCTAGCAGCTGCTGTATCTGCCACAGTTTATACTAGTATTCTGTCCTGCCCACATGACACATGTGGGGTTTCTCCATGCCCTGCACTGCTTATGGAGCTTGCAGAAAATTCACCAATAGCTCATCCCACTCCCCCCCCTCGCGAGGGCCTGCACTGTTGCTGCCAGGGCTTGTGCAGGAGAAGGTTCACAAACCGCACTGTTGATGCTCCACTCCCCCCATTGATCCAAAATTCCAAATTCATCATGGGCTCATGTGCATGTACCCACTGGCTCTCTGCCCGGTCCCCTGCCATTGCCCCTGGCTTCTTGGTGTACCAGCATTGTACAATGCACATACAAGCACCTTCATATGGAGCCAATGGACCCTGGGACCCAATTGGAAATGGGTAGAGATGGATGTCCAAACATTTAGGCAATCTCTCTTTCCCTCTCTCACACACACACAGGCACACAAGCAAACCTCATCCTCTATCCACAGTGATATTTGTCTCCTTGCCTGGAAAACAGGAGAAGCATAACAGTTCCCTGAGGGTCTATCGGGGAGCAGTAGCCAGCTTCTGTGTCTCCCCAAAGTTCCAACCCCACAGGAAATGCTTATCTAGAAGCTAGTTGACAGGATAGCATAATATCTCACATCTTAGTTGGGCATACTTACTTCTCACTTCAGCCAATGCGATCCTTCTCAGAGTTAGGAATAATTGGTACTTATTGATGGAATGGTGTGGCCTAGGGCTGCGCTTATGATTCTACTAAAGGGTAATAATCCCTTTCAGTACTAAAACACAGTCAAAAAAGGATTACCTAAACTTATTTGAAGAATTTGCTAAAGCTAGCATCCTTGTCTTCAGGTCTTACCTAAAATTCAAATTAACAAAATAAGAAGTGACCTGAGAGGAAGGAAGAGAGACTAGGAGCAGCTATCTAAAGATAGATTTTTGTAAAAAAAGACCAAGACACAACTCAGCTCTCTATCTGCTGATCCCCCCCTGCCCCCTGCCCAGTACAAATCACCTGGTAGATGTTGTGGTGCACAATCTGTGACCCCTTAAATACTAATGGACGACAGCTCCCAGCATCCCTCACCATTAGCTATGATGATTTGAACTGAGAGGAGCTGTAGTCCAACATCATCTGTCAGACTACGTAAAGGTAAAGGTTCCCCTTGACATTTAGTCCAGTCGTGTCCGACTCTAGGGCGCAGTGCTCATCCCTGTTTCCAAGCCGTAGAGCCAGCGTTTTGTCTGCAGACAGTTTCCGTGGTCATGTGGCCAGCGTGACTAGACATGGAACGCCGTTACCTTCCCATCATGGTGGTCCCTATTTATCTACTCGTATTTGCATGCTTTCGAGCTGCTAGGTAGGCAGGAGCTGGGACAAGTGACGGGAGCTCACTCCGTCACGTGGCTTCGATCTTACGACTGCTGGTCTTCTGACCTTGCAGCATACAAAGGCTTCTGCGGTTTAACCCGCAGCGCCACCACATCCGTATTCTGTCAGACTAGATTTTGCTAATTCTTACTGTGTTTTAAACATGAAGACAGACCCAAAATCCCACTTCCGGAACTAAAAGAATATTTCCCACATTCCTGACTGGATAGGCACCTGATCTCTCCCAAATGCCACAAAGAGTCAAAGTGACCTGCCTTGCACCTATGTTTTTACTCACTGAGTTTGGTTGGCAACCCCAGCTTCTAGATGCTCTTTACATCCATAGTTTTCAACCTTTGGCCCGCCCACATTTTGGAGGTCAACTCTCATAAATCCCTGCCAGCAAAGCCAAGGGTAAGTCTTCTGGGAGGTGATGTCCAAAACATTTGGAGGCTTAGAGATTGAGAACCACTACCTAAATTTATTACAACAGTTACCATTGGAATAAATCTCCCACTTCTAGTACTAATCACCTGCTAGATGTTCACCTCCTAAAGTGATCTCTATATTCTTACTTTGGCTCTGTAGTTTCTGCTGGTGAGAAAGGAGAAATGTCCACCTCACATTTTAATGGTGTTTTGAACCGTCTGCTTTTTGTTCAGGGAGGACACATCCACGAAGACCTGCAATTTGACTGTGACACATACAACTTTGAATAAAACGTGCTACATCTGCTTCTTTCCACGGCAAGATGTTTCAGCCTTCAGCCCCATGGAGATCAATATCTTTGATGCACGTTTGCCAAACAACACCCTGCACAGCAGAGACATCTATGTGGAAAAACTAAGTAAGGGCTGGTCTACAATGGGTTCATTTGCAGCAGGCTGGTGCAGGCTACGTAGGGTCACTTAGGGTTGGGTAGAGGTTCAGTATGATATTTGGTGCAATCTTTGCATCCAAATAGCTTATAATCTCAAGTAACCCTATTTGGTCTGTGTGCCTGTTGCAAACAGACAAACAAAAAAATTGCCCTTCATTGTTTCATCCAGCTTCTGGGAGGAAGTTTTCAATAACAAAAAAGAAATCTAAGTAGTGCAGTATGTCAGCACTACTCTAACACAGTAAAAAAAAACCTTCCTCCCTTTGCTCCGTGGTATTGCTGGTACTTAGTGGTGGAACTGACTAGGTTCTTTATCCAACCTTTCAGAAAAGTGAAGAAAAGGACAAAATCCCCCTCTTCTCTCCTTCAATTTCTGGGAAGAAATTTTTTTTAAAAGTGCTATACAGTATCACTTTAAAAAAGTGCTATAGCACATCAGCACTGCCTTAATACAGTTTTAAAAGATACTTGCTATCCCTGTGGGAGACTAAACAGTGGAATAAATGCCTGTCTGATTGCACCCTTACTCCTAATTAGAGATGGCCATGAACCTGAAAAATGGTGGGTTGTGATGTTTTGTAGTTCATGATTAACCATGATGGATCATGACCCACCATGAATCAACCAGAAAACCAAAACCAGTTCACAGTTCAATTTTTGGTTCATGCCCAATGTGTGTGTGTGTGTGTGTGTGCGTGCGTGCGTGCGTGTGTGCAGGGGTACCTGTTCCTGTTGTGCTGCTGCTGCCATGCTGTCACCGTTGCATTGTGTTCTTACTCTGTTCTTCTCCTCTTCTCCCAAGTTTTCTTAGATCCCCCTTCTAACCTGAGTCTGCAGCCACTGGAGTCAGCAAGGCAGGTCAATCTGAGTTGGCTGCCTCCTCCTGTTGCACATATGGGCAACAACCTCCGCTATGAGGTGGCCATCTCCCCAAAGGGTTACAAAACCCGGCAGGTAAGTCACTGACACATTTGCTCCCTCTCCCTGGGAACTCCTTCCACTCTTTCATGCCCTTATCTCTTCTTTTATCCTGCCCTTGCCTCTAGGTGGAGAGTATCACTGGACAGACATATTACCTCATGTACTTGAAAAGCGGAACCCACTACACATTTTCTGTGAGGGTCAAGGCTAGTGGAGCCAGCTATGATGGCTACTGGAGCGCATGGTCAGAGACTACATCGGTGGAGATACCAAATGGTGAACACTCTTATCTGTCTGTCTGTCTGCCTAACTAATCTATGCCAGCCACCTAGGAATTCTCTGAGGTTCTATAAAGACTAAACAAGAAATCACATTGGCCTGTCCTACTGCAAGCCCCAACCAAGAGCTGACTCATTGAATCAATAATGCAATGGTAACCCAGCACTGAGGTAAATGCCACCAAGCCAAATGATCTGCTCCAGTTGGGATTAGCAATAGGATCCTGGCCATTATTTAAAAACATAACAGTTGCAGCATAAAGATTTGCTGCCCAGATAAATTGGCTAAAATGATATCTACTATGTGACTAACCTAACACAAGATGTAAGCAGTTAAATAAAAATACAGGTTTAAAGAATTCATATTTTAAAAGTGTGGGGCAACCACAAAAAAGGCTGGTTGCTGCTGGCACCAGATATACCACCATGGTGGTGCCAGGGGGCAGGGAGCAAGCTGTTCTGCAACCAGAGTGCCAATAGACATGGTTGCTAAAACACAAGCTTCTGAAGAAGACCTTAACGTTCAGGTCGGTCTATTCAGGAAGAATCCGTCTTCAAAGCAACTTGGCCTTGTTAAGGGCTTTGAAAGTAAGGCACAGCTGGGCCATGGTCCAAATCATGGAGTGGTGGGAGGCTGATTGACCCTAAAATGATAAGCGGAGACGTCCCGTCGCCTGGATCATAAGCTACAAATGGATTAAAGTTAGCACCTAAAATTGAACCCGAAAACAGACAGCAAGCCAGTGCACCTAACAAAACATGGATATAATTTGATGAAGAAGCCTGGTTACTTATCTTGTAAGCCCAGCTTCCAGCCTGTTTTTCAAGATGTGTCCCTGTACAATGCATTGTTTGGGTGGGAGGGCAAAGGGGGGGGAGAAGATACGTGGTGCTCATGAGGTTGACGACTTGAGCTGCTACAGAACCCCTATATATGGTGTATGTAGGTATTTGTTGGTGTTAAAAAGGGAGGAAAGATGTTATGGTATATGTTGTCAAGTCAGAACTGACTTATAGCAACCCTAAGAGGGCTTTCAAAGTGAGATATTTAACATGTGGCTTTATCAGGTCCACTCCATGGCTGAGCAGGGATTTGAACCCAAGCCTCCTGCATCCTAGTCCATCACTCTGTCTACTACACCATGCCGGGTACCCTGCAGAATGATAGGAGGTGTGAAGCTCTAGAGCAGCCATTCTCAATGGGGGTCATATGCCTCCCTTGGGGCCCCTGGCACATTTCAAGGGGGCCACAGACTGGAAACAATTCTTGACACACCACTGTTTTAAGATCTGTTATGTGAGTTATATAATCCTACTTCAGTATGTATGTCTTTTATATTGTGTTTATGGCCGTGGCATTGAGAATGGTTGCTCTAGAGTGACCAACAGTACCGCATAAATAGCGGATGCTCTGATCAGAGCTTCCAAAGGGTATCTTATTAGTTTACATGGGAGGTGGTGGTGGTTGTGTTTATTAAAATAATTAATTAATTACCACACATTGAGATTGTTCAGGTCATGGGATGCAGGAGTGGCATTTGCCTCTTCTGGAATTTTAAATTCATTTGCAATTTGCATTGCACGGACAGATGCATCAAGAGTGGCATGCATTGTGTACACAGGTTTTGCAGCTTTGCCCCCTCCTGGAAAATGATGTGAATGAATATGTTCCAGAGAAATCAGCTGGTGTAGAAGCAATTCCTTGGAATTAATTTTAATATTAACATTAAATCAAAAAAACCAACAAAAACTTATCATACAGATCTGTCAGTCATAGAAAGAAGGAGTCCATAATTCTATGTGATTCTATGTAATTGTGGAAGAAAAATGTAATTGTGGAGTACCAGTCACAGCTTGGTAACTGTTTTCTCCTAGGTTATAATGGTGACAAAAATTCAAGTGATATTTTCCTAGACATAAAAATGTGTAGTACAACCTAAATCTTGCTCACAGGGTATCATGAAAAACACCACTTGCTCAACTTTCTAGTATTTCAGCAATACAGTAGAAATGTTAATGCTTTGTCCTTTTTCAGATGTAAGTCAAAAAAGAAGGGATAACTTAGCCCAAAAGTTTGGGATGAAATCCACTCCTGTTTAGACCATGGATTGCTCACGATCCTTTAGACAGAAGATACTATTAATTTCCCCCCCAATAATCCAGTTATGCTAATTGATGTGATGGCACATTTATTATTATTAATCTAGAATTGCCGTCAATTCCTTTAAACTTATTAAACATAACTGTTTAGGTACAGAAACTTAAACCCCACTTCTTTTAAAAACTGCCATAATGTTTTAATATTCTCACAGGTGTTTGCAAAGACTGTGTCCCCTCTACAGATCAAAATGTTCAAGAAGTCCAAAAGGATTAAATTCAGGATAACAAATTAAGGATGCTACTCTACTGATGATTTTGTTGCCTTCAGCTTGTCCTTACCTTTATACCTATAGGCAAAAGAATGGCTTTTGATCAGGTCAAGGGGGGCGTCACCCCTGAAACTCTAGGATGAACTGCCCTTGCCCGAGGAACTTCCTATCATATATTATGTTTTTCTTGCTTAACCTCTGCTTTCCAATTTGTTAACAATAAACCTCGTAAGGTGGTTTAAGATGTTCAGTTTTAACTTGAACCATCACTGGTTCCAATTCTTTTGCAACATAATAAAGCGTATCATCTAGAAATGGCAACCCATATTTTCCCCTCCTTCTATAATACAGCCTTCTAAATTCCTGGGTTTTTTTCTATTCAAAATAAAGTAGATAATTAGTCTTCGCCATATTTTTAACTGAGATTATTCTATTCACATTTGCTAGTCTGAAAAAAAGGAAATGTAATTCTAGCAAGAGTTGCCGTTTTAGAAGCTGCAATGTGGCAAAAGAAGTAGACTGTTAATTCTAATTTTGTTAAGATTATATCTAAAAATCACACTGTAATCCAGATCTTATTCTATTTGAAGGGTGGCAATATGCAGCCTAAGGTCCTCAAGCTACCTCCAGGGCATTTCTTTGCAGCCCCCTACATTGCTGCGACCACCAGGAGTCTTCCATACACCCCTCAGTGTAATTTAAAAAAATTCATGAAGTTCTAAGTGGTAGTAGGCATGTTGTCACTTTTGAGAGTGGCCCAACACCCCTGCAGTTCCATGCTCCCTATTTTACATATACTTTTGGCCACCAGAGGTCACAATAGTTTTTTAAATTAAAAAGCATACTTTACTTGAAGGCATTTTTCAGTACTGTACATGAAAATCCATCGGACAGTAGTTGCCTTTGCAGTACACAAATACTGCTTTAATTTTTTGAAGAAGCCCCTTTAGCCCAACTTTTTCAGAGTGTAGTCTTTTGGATTCTGACAAATCTGAAAAATGACATTCAGCCCCATTGGGATTGCTTACCTGTAAGATGCCTACCCATAAGATTGTGTTTATATCATTTGAGACATGTAAAGGATATTGGGCTAAATTTGACCCTCTGGCGGGCAGAATATTTAGAACATTCACTTCCCTCTGTCAGTCCTTTGAGCCTCTGAAAAACCCAACTATGGAGGGTTTGCCAATGCATCAGGGCATGTTTTGAAGGTGTAAGGGGAAGGGGATTGGGCCCTCAAGCTTCCACTGGAATCCACTGTACTGCCAGTGGAAGACCAAAGCTGGGTCCTGCCCATTGCCTGCTTTTGTTTTAGCCTTGTTAATCTTAAAGTTTACAAGACGATAATATTGAAAACAAATGTTCTCCAGCTCTGCATATAATTTACAATGTTGAAACAACATTAGACAGGCAATGCCACTTGCCTACTAGATATTGTTGTGTCTTCAATTTCCTTTATTTCTGCATTTTGGTGATGTATATTAGAATGATTGCTGAAGAGACCAAACAAAGAGCAAATGCTAAAACAGGCAGGCAGCATCCCATATTCAACCAGACTGGATTGGAAATGTTGACTTTGCCATTAATCACAATCTTTGTAATTGAAATGTTATTAGTAGCTTTACTTGAAGTATGTAGATTTTTTTCCCCAACATGAAAAGCTTTTCTTCCTCTCTAAAGGAAAGGGCACATGATTTTGTAAAAAGCTTTTCCAGCATTAAAAAAAAAAGCTCTTTTATTTTCTGTACACAAATAATTGTATTTTTGCTTCCTATGCATTATCCATAGAGATGGACACGAATTTTTAAAAATTGCAAAATTAATCAAAAAATCGCTAATTTGTCAATTTGTATTTGTCAGAAGCAATGCCCCGACAATTGTGAATCGATGAATTTTTAGCAATTTTCAATTTGTTGAGCTATATAATGTCCCTCCAGGTACTTAGAGATACCAAAATTGCAGGGAAGCGTCTTCTGACTCTCCTCTACAGTCCCTCCAAGTTTGGTGAAGATTGGGCTTTGCGTGTCTTCCCAAGAAAGTGCCCTTTAGCATCTGGCTTGGGGGGAAATTCCAGCGCTGCCACAAGCCAGATGCTAAAGAGCACATTCTGAAACACACACCCCCCCACTTTGTGGGTATATAACTCATGAGGGTGTTCTCCCTTGCTCCCCTCCAAGTTTGGTGAAGATTGGGCTTTGTGTGTCTCCCCAAGAAAGTGCCCTTTAGCAGCTGGCTTGGGGGGAAATTCCAGCACTGCCACAAGCCAGATGCTAAAGGGCACTTTCTGAGCCCCCCCCCCCTTTGTGGGTATATAACTCATGAGGGTGTTCTCCCTTGCTCTTTAGAGCTACACACAAACACAAGATATCTTTTGTCTATCTGCCATTCTCTCAATTTTTTGCTATATATTCAAAATGGTATTTTAGCCCAGCTGACAACATACCCTTGACAGCAAACTAGCTTCATCTCACACATGATGAGGTACAATGAGGACTTCAGCTCAATATCAGCTATGTTGACCCAACTGCTGCCATTGCATATTAATGCAGTCAAAAGCAGAATGTGATAAACACAATACAAGAGATTATATGAAAGCACAACTATATTTCATTCCTGTTTGGCAACTGATAATTTACAATGAATTCAGCAGCCACTACATAGTTTACTAATTAAATACTTGCCAGTTACAGAAATGTGCCAAACTAAATTTACATTACTTAGGTAGCTATATTCTTTATAACTATGTTTATCAGTCAGTTCACAATATATTTGGAATACGGTTTCCCATTTCCACAATATTTGGTCCAGGAAAAAATCAGTATTAGTTTATTAGAAAAGCCGAACTTGTGATTTAACAGAGCAATCTCATGCACGCTTAATGAGAAGTTCCACTGTGTTCACTGGTACTTACACCCCTGTATGTCTACATGGCATTGCAGCTTAAATTCTATTGGCGTTAAGTACTTATTCATCTATTTTCTTGCTCCTCCATCCATCAGTTTCTTTCCATTGAGTCAAATCCATCAGTATGAACTAGAGTAGACCCACTGAATCAACGGGACTTAGTTCAAATTACTATACAGTATAACAGACAGTTTACTCTTTCTTCACCACAACTTTCGTTACTAAATTGGTTCAATGTTGAAAATATCAATCAAGCATTCTCCATCCTCACTTCAGGATCCTCCATAAGGTATCTCTGCAGTCTTTCTATGACAGCTTTTGCTGTGCTCTCTCCAACTTCACCTTATATTTTCCAGCATTCAGTGTCTGGCTCAGAAATGGAGGAAGCTTTTTAATATAATATTTTTACTAAGAATTTGTTTCTCTAACATAGCAATGCAATGTAAAGACACCCTTATTTTATCCTAATGTATACATCGATCAATTCATTAAATCAATCTGAATTCAGGTTGTGAGGTGGGAAAAGACTTGATGGTCCAGAAGAATACATTTAGAGTGCTTAGTTGACTATGTGGCATGCAGTGCATTCTCAGTTTGACTATTCATGAGATGTTAACAGGATGATTTGACCTTGTTAGTCTTCTGAAACATTTGACTAGCAAGATTCACATCCTTCCAGAAGACTCTTCAAAAGATCCAGGAGGTATACTGCAAACAAGTGTCAGAGCATTCATAACATTGCGCCATGCTATCAATGATTTTTGCATTGAAGGTGACCAAGGAATCATTTGAAGGGTTTTGATAGAATATTTTCTGCAGTCCTTACCTGTTCCCTCTCCCTTTCAGATCTGGACCCCCTCATTCTGACACTGTCTGTCATCCTGGTGCTGATTGTTCTGCTCTTGGCTTTTATCACTCTGATGTCTAACCGCAGGTACTGATCTTTGAGCTCCGAAAAACATTTGGTCTTCTCCCCCATCAGCCTCTTTCATTTGGGATCACTTGATCACGTGTTATAAAACCATCTCTTGCTTCAGAAATGGATATTCCTTTAGATAGTCTTAATTTTATGTCATTCCTGAAGTGATGTGGTGGTGGTGGTCTCCAACCTATATTCTCATTGTGGTCTGTCTCTTCCCATTACCTCCCACCAGATTTTTGAAGAAGAAGATGTGGCCTGTGATCCCCACTCCAGAGCATGAATTCAAAGATCTTTTTACAATCTACAAGGGCAACTTCCAGGTATGGCAAAAGCTGCCTACCCAGTCTTCATCTGTGTGTGGTAGTTCCTCAACATTCCTGTCACCCTACAACTCTGCTGGCATTGGGCAGCTGTGTGATCACAATTCTTCAGGCATGTGGGAATTGTAGGCTGAAAATGTAATGTTTCTGTGCTCCAATTCCAAGCACCAGTTATTAATCTGGTTAAAAAAAAGGTTCAGCCAGCCAAGCTAATTTAGTACAATGGGTCAACAAACACAAAGAGGACTTACGGGCATACTGAGGAGCTAGCCCATGGATGAATGTGGCATCCAGAAGTCCAAATGAAGACCCCAGCATTTTAAGGCCCTCTGTACCCCCACTCCCAATGTTATTTTAAATTTTTTTTCTAAGAGTAAATGGTTTCTGGTTCCAAAAGTCCCCTCATGCTCCCTAGGGAGCATGGGGGAAATTTTGCCACATTCTGGGTATCCCCCTAGCACACTCCCCCATCTCCAATTTATTTTCCAAAACATTCTGATGAGTATAAGGTGAAAGTCTCACTACCATTTTAGTAAGAGAAGGGGGTGGGGCTTCTAGAAGCAAGTGCAGATCTCCCAAATTCTCGTGTGTGTGTGTGTGTGTGTGTGTGTGTGTGTGTGTGTGTGTCCGTCCAGATGTTTGGAATTTGGCCATTACGGGGTTTCACAAAGCCCCCTCGAAGCATAGCATCACATCTTCCAGTCCCTGACCGGCTCCTCCCCTTTCTTTACAGCTATGGATGGGGCACCAGAACATCTATCTATGGTGGAGCCATAATCCCCTTTATCTGGAAGAACAGCCATTCATGGTGGAGATATTATCTGACTGTGATGGCCGCAAGGTGGATGACCCTCTTCCACCTCCTCTTCCACCCAAGACTCACAACATGATGGAGCTTTTTGCTACTCCAGAGGTATCCCAGGATGATTACCTAGTACTGGATGAAGACTTGGTGCCAGGCTGCTCAGGAGGGGATGGATCCCTGCTCTTGCCAGACAATGACAGCAGTGAGGGGACAGATGTGGCCCTGGCTAGGACAGCGCTGAGGTCCCCAGAACCCAGCCAAACATCCTCCAGCTTTGAGTACATTGTCTTCGATCCCAGCTCAGAAGGCCTATCTCCTCAGAGTCACCACCAGAAAGAGCTCCAGCTTCGGAGCAGCTACCAGATGGTGTCCGACTCTGGAATTTCTGCCGACTACAGCCTCATGGATTCCAGCCCTGGCCAGATGAGCTTATACACCAACCTCTGTGATGGGGGGCCACAGCCATTCTTGCCCAGCTATATTGTGTGCTCATAATGACCGTGTGAGTCTGGAGTATCAACCCCCAACTCCAAACAATGGAGGCAGCAAGATAACAAGCTCAGAAGTCTGGCAACTTCCTCTCCAGGTTGTAGCAACATGCTACAGAGGAAGCTAATGGAAAACGCTATGGGCTGCTTCAAAGGTCCCAACAGCCAAACAGCAGAAAGGTTTTCAATATGGATAGGAAGGTAACAATGACTGGACAATGGATTAAGATAGTACAGAGAAAACACTTTGGGTGCATTTGCTTCCACAATTCATCCATGATCCTTTGAACAGTTCTTCATAACACTTGAAAGTACTACATCATTTTTACCTTGATGTCAACACAGACAAGCCCATTCTATAAAGGTGACAAGCAGTGGCTGAGCCCAAAAGGTTGTTCTGTGAGTTTGTGGCATGGACTGGGAACTGTGCACACCCTCCTGCCAACCAACCCACATACAGTACTTATCGACACCAGCATGCACAGGAGTGAGGTTGGATGTGTCGCCTGATGACATGCCAGTGCACAGGAAACTTTGGTTCAGCACTTTTTTCTACTAGAGTTTTGGTCATTTTACTTTTGTGAAATGTATTCTTGGCTAAGTATTATAGAGAGACATGTTTCATACACAATTGGGCTGAGTCTATGACCCAAGATTGTGAGGAAGAAGAGCAAGCTGTCTTACACTAGGTCACACCTTGGCTCACCTAGCCCATTATTTTCAACTTTGTCTGGCAGTGGCTGTCTTGGATTTCAGGCAAGATTATCACCATCTAGGCCAAGATGCTCGGGACTGATCCTGCAATCTTCTGAATGCGAAGCATCTGCTTTGCCACTAATCTATTCTCCCTTGTTAGTACTGTACTAATAGTCCTCATGTCTCCCACTCCCCTCTGCTGCCCATAAGTATTAGCCATGGCCAGACATCTCCAAGTTTCAGACAGCGAATGGAGTCCGGGGTTAGGAAAACATGGAGGACTGGCTGCAACCTAAGAATCTCCATTCTACTACAATTCAATGAGTGGCTTTGGCTTTTACACTTATAGTATGGTGTTAAAAAAATACTGACTCAAACGCGAATAAGCTATCTGCTTGAATAAGCACTGTAACCTCTCATGAGAGAAGAGGATGAATACTGAGAGAATTGCATAGGTACTCTCTCTGCTGTTTACTGCCTCAGAAGGTGGCTAATACATAACATCACTCTGATTTGTCTGCCCAAGAGAGAATTGTGCCATTCACCTTATTCTGATAGTACTGGGCAAGATCCTAGATTTTGCTGGTGTTATTTGAACTATCCTCTAAAGAGTATGATCAGCATGTGACAATTGAAATGAAACTGTATTTGTTTCACCACTGAGATTATAATTACCGTAAACTCTTATAAATAGGTCTACATAGGAACTTTTTCTAATTATGTACCATAATTCAGATTGAATATTTTTAATACTTTGAAGGGTTTTTTTAATTAAAAAAATAAAGAAATAATATCAAAATTGCCTCTTCCCTCATTCTGTTTCACTTGTTCTTGTAAACACCCAAATCAGGGGCAGACGTGTACTTGATCTCCAACCACTCATCCCTGGGCTTGCACACTTGAAAACTGTTGGGAGATCTCCCTTAGACATCTCTAGGCTATCCTATTGCTAGCATTGGAAGGTAAGATATATCACACACTGGTTTTTCAATGAGTACTAGATGTTCTGGCCAAAATGCTGAAAATATGTATGTTAATCAAGTCCTGACTCAGTTAAACCATTGTTTGCAACCAGTAATGGCAGAAAAGGTGGAAGTAAGTCCTGGTTCACATTAACAATTGTCCACAACCAGTAATAGCTGAAGGTCTCAGAAAATAACAAGGCCATAAAACAACAACAAAAAAACCCACACACAACCCTCTAGGAGGAAGGGCTCTCTAAAGGGTCATCTCTCCTTCTTGGGTGGGTGGCAGGGATGTCACAACCACTCCGTCTCATAAGGTACCTTTTATGGCTCATACTAGGAAACAAACAAGCATGCTAGTTTAGCAGGGAACTTACTCAATAAGCAAGCCAGTTTCTCACTGGTGCTCAGAAACGTTATGCCCAACCTCACACTTCTGAACACAGCAGACCAACACAGCAGACTCAGATCCAGCCTCATCCTCACAATTGGGCTTATCAGCATGACCACAAGCACCTCTGCTGCCCTTATCTGGCATGCAGCTGGCTTGAAAATGGCAGGAGCCCAGCCAGGCACCTCCTGCTGCTGGATGAGATCCAAGATGTGAATGTGTGCAGAACAGAATGTGTGCAGCCCCTTCCTCCAAGAGAGAAGGGGTGATGCTTTTGGCTGATTCACACAGCCAGGCGGAAATTATGGCAGCACCGGTAGCTTGAGTCCAGCTGTGTTTTGGTATGTTTTCAACACTGCCTGAGAATGAAGCCACATCACTGCCCCACCACAACTGACATCAGAACCAACCAGCTTTGGGTAGAAGGAAATGGGCTGGTTCCAAAATCCCCCATGAGCAAGCAGGAGGCAGCCCCAGCGGCATTTGGGAAGGGGAGATCAGCGATTCCAGCCGCTTGGCTACAGACACACACCAACCCCACATTGCCAACACACTGCACTCCTGAGAACCCCGACAGTCTTAAAACAGTTTCTGCGACTGAGAACTGCACTGGTTAGAGCGAGATGGAAGCGACCACAATCCCGTCATGTGCCTGTGAAACCAAACCAATGTAAGAAGTGCAATTCTTTTCTTATATCCCACCTTTCCTACAGTGAGCTCATGGATCTGTTCCAGTCCCCTGAATCCTCACAACAACCGTGGCACAGGTCAGACTGCGAGTGTGTGACTGGCCCAAAGCTTCCTCCCCCCACACTTAGAAAAAACCATTTATAGCTAAAGTTGATCGGTTGCTTATCTTTAATGTACCACAAAAAAACTCTTTAGTATTTGTGAAGATTAGCAAGTTTAAAATAAAAACAATCATAGCACCACTGTTTCATTTTATTTTTAAGTAAAGCTGGTTTGGCCCCCGAACACAGTTCAGATTTTTCATGTGGCCCCCCCCTATAGAAATTGATTGCTACCCTTGACCTATGGAAACACACCCTGCTAGGGCACCAGGATCAGCAAACGAAAACCTGAGCAAAATTGAGATGGGTAAACAGTGACAGCCGGGTCCTTCACTGTGGAAACAGCCCCCAGTCGGAACAGAGAAGGCTTCATTCTCAGGGCAGGCTATGAATGGAAAGGTTCAATGCCTTTCTCTTCAGTGGGAGCCCAACAGAGACTCCCCATCATCTCACTGGCCCACCCCAGAGTCTGAGCTACTTAAACAGCTCTACAATAATAGGGCTGACAATTGGGGAGATTCAACGAGCAAGTTTTAACATTCCTCCTCTTCGCACCTTAATTTTGACATGATGCTGCATGTTTTAAGCTAACCTGGAAAAGAAGAGCAAGCAAATGGAAAAACACACTCAAGCCTCAACACTGCTCACCCTTTTTGGCTGTAGGGTTCCCTGCCATGGTAACCAATATACCAGGGATCAGAACAAAAATAGTAATTGGTAGAGCACAGTGTTTGGAAAACTTGCATTTTGGACTCCCACTCCCAACCGCTGACACAGCCACACCACTCAAGAGTTGTGGTGCAAAAAAGTAACATCTCAAAACTCTAACAGAGAACTCTCTGTTTATTCAGTGAGCATAACCTTATGTGGAGTAATTAAAATGGCAGACTCAAGAATCCCAGTTTGCGCATGCAAACTCACTGGGGTGGGTTCTGTGGCAGCAGTAAAGCCACTCCTGAAATATTTCACTTTTATTCTGAAAGCACTAGCAGGCTAGATTCCAACTTGTTGGCACAACACACAACCTTGGGGTAAGGGTGGGGCAGAGAAAGATCCTGTGGATCAGGGGGTCCTACTGTATTGACACTCTCTCCATCTCCCTTACGCTCAGAAAACTCTCTGCCTCAATTTGTATGAGCATTTTTTAAAATGAGATCAAAAGCAGGAATGTAAGATTTATTCTCCCAGTGACTTATTCCGAGCCTTGACGTGACACTTGGAAGTAATCTTTCTTTTAATTTCTCATATGCAATTGAAAGCACGGGGAGTCCCCAGAAAAAGGATCAGGAGGACTTTAAAACCCCCTAAAGGCTTCACAATCAAACTCTGCTCTTTATCAAGAAAATAATTTTGTGTCCCAATCAAACCAGCCTAAGCACCTCAGGAGAAAAGAAAGAGATGGTGATCATGTATTTCTCTTTCTAAGCAAGACAAAATCTGCTGTGGGTCAAAGTCTCTGCAACACAATACAACATTATGATCCAGTTAAGAAATCCCAGACTGGGAATCAGACACAATGATGCGGGCTTTGATCCCAGGAGGTCCATCTTTCTCTGAAGCTGTGCCATTCTCCTTTTCACGACTGCATGGAAGCGCAGAGATCCTCATGTCACCTTGAGGATCAAACTGCAACAGCCATTCTTGATCTTTTGTCCCTGGCTGGGAGAGACATGCTCTCACCAGCCTGGTGATACCACAGCTATTTGAACCAGCAGTCTCCTCCACACCTGGATGCAGCCATAGCTGGGCTGGGAAGTAGCGATCAATTACTGAAAGGTGCTCTGCTTCTTCGGCAGCTTCTCCAAGACACTTCATGGCAACAAGAAGCTGGCAGCCTGCAGGCATGTGGCTGAGCTTCTGGCTGAAATGATTAGCTGTGTCCAAGAGCAAGGCCACCAGCTGAGCGGCCATATGTGGGCTGGGACATCCTCTCAGGTACTCTTCCAGGCCATCCAGCATTAACAGAGAGGGGCTGCCAGACAAAGTTTGGTGTAGGGAGGCCACCAGCTGAAGCAGCTCCTGGAAGGATGGAGGGTATCGGAAATGGATTCTCTAAGAAGTAAAAGAGAGAGAAGGAGGGAGGGAGGGGAGGGAGGCAGAAGGAGAACATGATTGCTGGTAAGTAATGATGTGGATTTTCTGGAAAATTTCCAGTATTCTTAATAATGTTATCTGGTTTAACATTTTTTGTTTAAATGCTATATTCAAAGCCTTACACAGAAATGCTTTTATTGGAACAGTTGTAATAATGTAAAGAGAATGGCATACACTGTCCTTATATTTAACAATGACATCTGAAAGAACAGCATTTTTCAGGACACATGCCTGAAGAGGGCCATACCTTATATATCAACATCCACAGTTAATGTCCTTGCGTTAAAGTACAACTGCAGTGCTTTCAGTTTCACTCCCTCCCTCTCTCTGCACTGCTTTTCAGTTCCATTTCAGATTGAGAAAAATCTGATCAAGAACTGCTCTACCTCCATCTGGATCCTATTTTCAGTTCCCTAAAGCTCAAGATTCTGGGATGTAGCAGGTAGACCTTGAGAGTTTAATTCTACTGAATAATAATAGGGGTAGGATTTGTCTGTTCGTGCGTTGTCGGGTTCGTTGGTTTGCACTGATGTTCTTTTGGTTAATAATCTAGATTTCTAGATAATCTAGATTACAATGCCTTTAAAAAAAATTCTAATCCCTTTGGGATCCCTTGAGAGCTCAGAGGAGGACGCTGAAAGCCTAAAACTTCGAGCAAAGCCTTGAGTTCCGGCGAGTAATCCAAGATTAATCCAAGATTCAAGAAAGCTGCGAAGTGAGAAAGGGCGACCAGGGCGATTCTCGGATCACTGAACGGGGGCTCTCCCGATGTGTTCCTCAACAACATAGATCTTGGGGTTGACCTTTACCACCCTGATGCTGGGGAGTCTGTGATCATCCTGACACTGAGGCTGATGAAGGCATTCCCCCCCACTCTCTCATGCTGGCCTATTTTGCAGGGTGCTGTGAGAGAGAAGTGAGCAATACCTGACACTCGCTGCAGGGAAGTCAGGATATGAACTCAGGCAGGAAATAAATAAAGTCCGCCCGCTCACCCACCCACTCGGTTCGCACCTGGATCACTCCGGCGGCAGCGGC